GTGAGGAAATCACGCAGGATGAAGCGGGATTCTTGGTAGACGCTGGAGGCGATACGTTTGACACCGCCACGCCGGGCGAGACGACGGATGGAAGGTGTGGTGATGCGTTCGAGGGCGGAGCGGGAGGAGAGGTAGCGTTTGGTCGAGAGGGAGGTTTTGCGTGAAGTGGTGGGCTGATTGGGAAGGCATTTCCCGCTCTGACGAAGCGAAGGAGGAGGGATGGAGAAAGGTTCTTGGTTCAGCGTCCGATGCGCAAGGGATGAGGGGGCGCTGCAGACTTACGGTGAACGTTTCTGGATTGCGGACGGTGGGTGTGGGAAGGAGGAAGTCAGTATACATAGCGGTGATGGGATGGCGGGGATTCGGGCGACTTACTTCCACCCATCGTGACAGATTCCTTGCGGAGTATTTATGGTGACAAGGGAAAGGTGTGCAAGGCAAACGCAGGGACGAGCTCTAACGACAAACGGCGGGACACACACTCGACACAACACAAATCAAGGAGGACTATATATTCCGAGAGCTTTCCGTCAACTTGCGATCCGGTAGCAAAGCGTGAAAGACAGAGCGGATCAGATTCGACAATGCTAGCAGAAACAAGGCTTCTGTGCGGACTGCTGGAAGGATCTCCGAGCGGCATTCTCCGAGCGAAAAGGCTTTGTCTTGTTTAAGCGTGCAACTGGAGCGGCGAACGGGAAACACAAGGCAAAGCGTTGAGAAGACATGTCAGCGTTTTCCCGCATTTCCGCTTTCAGGCCGAGCTAGCGAGGGGTTGGCACTCACCAATGGCGCAACGACGGAATACCACTCTCCGACAGTACGAAAGAAAGGATCGTCTCCTTTGTCTATCGGACCGTCTGGGCCCCATATCGTGAGATGGTTTGGATGGACTCGTGCGATCGGCTCGATGCGGACCGTTGGTCCTGCCGTACTTGCTGGCTGATGATCGACGACTGGTACGGCTCGAGGCGATGGTTCGCGTACCGGTTCGACTGCTATTGAGTCATCATCGTCTTGTTCAGCTTCGTCTCGCTCCTCATCGTCATCATCGTCGTCGCTGTCCATCGAAAACTTTTGCTGTTTCGGGGGAGGTTGGTTGGCCATCCTTCTTCGCTTACTTGCTCGTTCCCTTTCTCGTTCAACCTCCTCTGCTTCCTTCTCTGCCCTGGATGCCAGGGAATCATGGCTTCTGGAGCCTGTCGCGCTTGCACTGCCGCTGGTCGATGCGACTTGCGAGACACGCACGACCTTTGCTTCGAATCCAGGTGGAAGCGGCAACGGCGTCGACTGGATCGCTCTTCCGCGGAACGCCGAGATGAAGCTCTCGCTCGCATCGTCCACCGCAGCATCAGCCGAGGGAGAGGAGGCAGACCGTTGAACGAGAAATGAATCGATGGGTGCAGGCCCGTCGTAGGCGATGCTGAAGGGCATGAGGTTGGCAGCGCATTGCGGTAGTGGCTCGTCGTGGAAGTGGATGTCGATGGGTGGTGGGAGTAGGTTGATTGCCGAGTCTGTCGTCATGATGAATGATTGTTTCTCAGCTTCGTGGAAAAGCTGGTCGAATGGTCGAATGGAAAGGTCCAGTTCTCCGTCGATGCTGGTAGGTAGCGCTTCCGATGTCGAGACCATCATGCTGACTTTCGAGACCAACACTTTTTCCCTTCCCTCGGCCTGCTGCAACGCGTTGAGGAATGGGCGCGTGTTCCTTTGGTGTAAATTGGCAAATGGCTCTCGTGCGAAATATTCACACTGAAATGGCACAGATCGGGAATGTGAAAATCCAAGATTGAGAAGAAACTTTTTTGTGATTTGCCAGAGCGTCGCTGTCTGTCTGTCTGTTTGTGCTGCTGCAGTGCCACACGGTGTTCATGTTACAGTTCTTCTGACCACCCTTTCATCATCCATCATACCCACCCATTCTTCCACCTCTCTCGATAACAATCTCAAGATGACGGAAGCAGCAGGTGCCGTGATCGGCATCAACTTTGGCCACTCGTACTCTTCCATCGCCTGCATCAACCAGCAGTAAGTATGATCCACAATGATCCGAACCCTGCTCTTGCCTGGCTTCCCGTGGACAGCCTTCACTGACACTCGCAATGATCTCGGTTTGCTCTCCATCCAGCGGTCGTGCCGATGTCATTGCCAACGAGGACGGTGAACGACAGCTCGCAACACGCATCGCTTTCAACGGCGACCAGGTCTACCTTGCCAACCAGGCCACCCCGCAACTCGTCCGCAATGCTCCCAACGTTATTGACAACTTTGTCAACCTCCTCGGTCGTCCCTTTTCCTCGCTTTCCGAGTCCGAGAAGAAGCGTGCTTCGGCTGCCGTGATCGACGTCAACGGTGCTCCTGGCTTCAGCGTCGAGATCGATGGCAAGCAGACCACACTCAGCGTCCACGATGTCGCTGTGCGATTCCTGCGCAGTCTGTTCTTGACCGCCAAAGACTTCCTTTCCGGTGTTCCTATCGCAGGTGCCGTTCTCAGCGTGCCTCAGTGGTTCCCCGAGGCCCAGATTGCTGCATTGAAGAAGGCTGCCGAGGAGGCAGGTCTCATCGTGCTCCAGGTCATCCCTGCTTCCGCTGCTGCACTCGCCGCTTACGGTCTCACTGCCCCTGCTGGCCCCGGTCAGCTTCCCGCTCACCCCGACGGTGTCGAATCTGCCCCTTACCCCATCGCCAAATCTCTCGACCGCAACGTTGTCGTCGTCGACATGGGCGGCTCCTCCACCGACGTCACCGTCCTCTCCGCCCGCGCCGGTCTCTACACTTCCCTCGCCTACCTCCACGACTCGTCCGTCGGCGGAACCACGCTCGACTCGGCCCTCGTCGCCTTCTTCGCCAAGGAGTTCACCAAAAAGACCAAACTCACCATCGCCGAATCCGACAAGCGTGCCTGGGCCAAACTTCGCAACGAGGCCGAGTTCACAAAACGCGCCCTTTCCGCCTCCAACTCTGCCACCTGCTCCGTAGAGTCGCTTGCGGAAGGTATGGATTTCACCGGCAGCGTCAACAGGATGCGCTTCGATATGCTGGCTGGTGCAGCTTACGCCAAGGTCGTCGCAGACGTAGAGAAGGCGTTGGGCGAGGCCGGATTGGAGGCGTGCCAGGTGGACGAGGTGGTGCTGGCTGGAGGCAGCGCGAGGTTGAGTGGATTGGCTGATCGTCTGGCTGGCTTGTTTGGCGATGCCGAGGAGGGTGGAGCAAACATTACCGATTCCATCGACGCCGATCAGGTCATCGCCAGGGGTTGTGCTGTCCAGGCTCAGGTCATCGCCGCTGCGCCCGAAGGTTCCAAGGAGTCGGCCTACATCCACGCCGTTCCCGCTGCACCCGTCGCCTCAGTCAGCGAACTCAAGGTGGAAACCATTTCTGCACCAATCGGTCTCGTCCTCCCCGACAAGTTCATCACCCTCATCCCCGCCTTCACACCTTACCCCGTCCGACGATCGTTCCGCTTCCCCGTATCCGCCGGTGCCGAATCCGTCGCCTTCACCCTCGACGAAGGCATCGACTCTATCAACGTTGAAACCATCCAACCCGACGAAGAGGATCTCGAAGACGATGAGGAACCCATGGAGCCGGAACAGGTCAAGACCGCAGTCACAAAGCCTAGCGGCAAGAACATCGCGCTGTTCGCCGTCAAGACGCCAGGAAAGGGAAAGAACAAGGTCGAGTTGGAGCTCACCATGACTGCGCCTGGAAAGTTGACGGTCGAGGCCAAGGAGGTCGGAGCTGGTGAGGGAGTCAAGTTGGTTCTCTAGTTGTCAACATATTCATATAGATTTCAGCAATGACACAAGACAAAGCAGCGTTGTTGTGACCTTTTGTGGTCCGACGGTGTGCGTGTTGGGCCTTGTGGCACGACACTGGGTGATTGAACAGCGACTGTGCAACTAGATGCGTCAGATGCGTGGCTGGCTAAATTGACTTGTCACACCACCAGTCACCCAACCGTTGCACTCTCGCTTTGCGTTACACTCTTCGTCATGTCTGAGCCGACTGTCTACGCCGACTGTCTACGCCGACTGTCTACGCCGACAAGATTGCAAAAGCATGAACCTCAAATTAAGCACGACGATTATACACGACACCATTGAGACCAACACGACCACTCTTTCTTCATCCATGCAAGATCGACGACCACCACCTAGAGCTACCCTTTGCAAACGCACCCGCCTCCCTTGCCCCCACCCCTCCGCTAGCACCTCCATCCGTCTCCACTCGACTCAACATGATCGAGCTCCTTGCTTTTCCCTCTTCTCCCGTGTTGGCCGAGGTGGAAGATTTCTTCTTGAGCTTTCGTCTTAACTCTCTGTTGGTCAACGTCAGCGCTAACGCGGGTTCGATGTTGTCTTCCGGATCAGAGTGAAGGTGGATTGAAGCGCAGGGGATGTCGATTCCTAGGTAGACGGAGGGTCCGGTGCCCAGTCCCGCGTTGGAACGTTTCGGAGCGGAAACAATGGGTAAGCTTATTGGCGGCAGAGAAGCGTGTAACGTGGAGCTCGGAGGATCGACGATGCCGGTGATAGGATCGCGCATGGAAGCCAAACTCCTCACGGTCGAAGCTGGAGAGCTCTCCGTGTCGACGAGAAGCATCGTCGCCTGACGTTTCTTTTCGAGCCTCTTTGCACCTCGGCGTGGGACTAGGGATGTGAACACACCATCGGAGGCTGACGACGATCCTTCGGACGAATGTGAAGCTTTGCGAATTCGAATCGAAACTCCATCCACCAGCTCTCGAGAGGTTGTGAAGGTGGACGTGTCTCGCAGCGATGCCACCGAACGAGCCGGTCGAAGCAACTCACCCTCCGCCGAGTGGTATCGTTGACGACCGGTCCGACGAGCGTCGCCGAGCGTGCGATCCTCCGCCGAGGTGACGCACCTCGAGATGTCGTCAAGCGAAGCAACGTGTCTCACCGATCTACTTTTCCCCACCGCCCCCGCCGATCGGTTGTACGTGGTCGTCGTCGGTGTTGGCGAGTTCAGGAACTCTATTGCCGCTGATGAAGGCGGTGTGTTGCCCAAGAGTAGATCGCCCCATCGCGCAGACAGGACCTGGGGAGGCGGAGGATCGGCAGAAAGCGCACCGAATGTTCCACGTCTCTCGCCTCTGGGGGCGAGAGAAAGAGGGCTTTGTGGTGGAGTGGACGATATCGGGGATGCGATGCTGGTGTCGATGGTGTTCGGATCCACAGCGGTGGTCGTAGTAATGCTTAGCGTAGATGGCTTGTTCGGACGGATAACACGATTGGTGATGTCGCTAAGAGGGTCGACAGCAAAAGTGCTGCTGCCGAAAGCTTGATCCATCGTCTCTTGGTCCAACTTCCGACGACTGAGCGGTAGACGGGCGATTCGGATTCGATCCTCTCCCACTTCGCCAGCATCGAAACTGCTCTGTCGTGGACTCCAACCCAACCCATCACTACTCTGTCTCCTCTTGAAAACGGGGGCGTTCCAATTCGGCAATGCATCATCCACCCTCCTGCCCACGCTATTACTTCTTTTCCTCCTCCTCACCCTCTCTACCTCCCGCTCTCCCTCCCCACTTTCAAACTCAAACCTTGCCGGACTCGCATCGCCTACGCTACATCTCCTCTCACAGTCCAACGTCAAGGGCGAATTCAACGTCAAACTCGTCCCCACGCTGCTCCTCCTCCTCCCCCCTTCCACCTCCGGAGCGGTGGTGAGCAAGTGCTGCCATTCGTCCTTTTCGATGGCATCGAAGAACACGCTTCCGTCGGCCTCGCGAACCCTCAGACGCTGTTCCCGCTTCTGCTGCGAGGTGGTGCCGAAGAATCGATCGAGCTCTTCCTTCGTCTGGTAGCGGAGCGGGCGGAAGTGCGTTCGTGAGGTAGGGGTGATGGGGGACGTGGAGGGTCGTTGGGTGGTGGAAGAGCGGGGACGTGTGGTGACTGACATTTTTTGAAGACCGAGTGGTGTGGAGACGGATGGACGGCGGGGAAGAGCAGGTGTAGAGTGCACTTATATCCTTGCGACCTCTACAATCTGTGGGGAAGGGAAGAAAGGGACGCAAGAGGAGCGATAGAGGAGGGTAAGGTACCCTTTGAGACGTTTTGACACCTTTTATCTTCCCCTCCGAGGAGAGAAATGTTTGTTTCATTGCCCATGCATTCCACCCAGACTTCCCTTTCATCGTAATAAATCAGGATATGAAGTGCCCGCATCGAGCGACCCCGAACTCAAAACGCTTCGTTACAATGCACCGTCCATCCCGACAAAACCTTCTCCCACCCACGTCCGTCTGACCCAAAACCTTGATCAACACGTCGAAATGTACTGTTTGAAAGGGAACACTCCGGATGCGCCCAAACCCTCGGCTGTGGGTCTTCATTCTCGCCCCACATGAAGTGGCGAAAAGAACAAAGGGCATTTTTTTCATGCCGACGGATGAACACAACAAAGGGGAGTAGTGCAAAATGGAAACTTGATTCAAACGCGGACGGACAACAAAGGGCGAACTACGAATCATCGCATCACAGCTTGCAGAACGCTCTTTGGCGCCATGTCAAGAGCGCGAGAGAGAACAAAGGGCCAGAGAGACTCACTCGGACATCCCACACACCATCCTCAACACAAACACACACACGTGATCTTCATCAACACAGCCCCTCGAAATGCAATTTCCATCCATCCTCTCTTCTTCTCTCATCATCTAATACACCAGGTATCCAATGTTCAGCAGCGGGAAACCCGCCATCAACCCGATCCAAAAGATCATATTCCCCAGCGTCTCGTTCCTCTTGATGAACGGTACCTGGCTCAAGAATATCAACGGCAACTGAATCATCTGCGCCGCAAACAGGTACCCCCTCACCTTCCCGCTAACGATCGCCATCACCAGCTCGTGCACCAACGAACTCAACAGGAACGTCAAGAACATCGCCAACCCCTTACTTACCCCCCACGCTGCGATCGTGCTGGCGTACACGTGTCGCAGCAGGAAAGAATGAACAGGTTTGTTCCACTTGCGCGAAAAAACGTCCATCGAAGTAGCGTTCCACCAATCCAGGTAGAATTCGCGGTCGGCGAACCGGGTGAGTTCGGCAAAGGCGTTGCAGATGCACTCGAACATGATGTAGAAGATGAGCAGGTAGTTGATCATCATGGGCACGGCGAGTTGCAGGAACGTGCGGAGGAAGGGGGTGGAGGCGGTGGGCGTGAACGGCATGATCCAGTGCTCGGTGATGACGTAGATCACGAGGAAGGTGCCGAACGTAGCGAGGGTCTTCTCGAGCACGTACAGCGGTCGGATCGTCGCGAGACGTGGGTAGGAAAGTTCGTAGACCAGCGTGGGGACGAGCAGGTAGTCCCAGAAGTTGGCGTAGGTCACGTTGGTCGGCCACATCACGGGGTCCTGCGGGATCAGCGCGGCGGACGAGGGCTCGTGGGTCGAACGGGCGGAGAGCAGATCCTCGCGCAGCACTTCAACTTCGCGTGCCAGGTCGGAGATGAGCTTGTCCGTGTGCGACGAGAGTGGGTGCGGATCGCGGATGGTGTGCGAGGCGTCGCCCGAGGTTCGTGATGTCGACGACGCCGTATCACCGTTCTGCTGGCGGTGGTCCGACTGGGCGCTTCGCTCGGCTTTCTGCTTCTCGGCCATGTCCTTGTGCAGTTGCATGTGCTCTTGCTTGCTGAGCTTCTTCTCGCCTGTCTCGGGCTCTTGCACCTTTTCGCTCTGTTGATCATCGACAATCAGCTTCCCATCGGTGCTGCTGTTGACCGCGTGCATCAGCTGACCTGTACGGAGACGTTTCGAATCGCTACCGCGCTGCGCGTCGAGCGACGACCACTGCGCAAACAGTTGCGCCGTACCTTTGCTCGCATCCGAGTCGCTGAAGCCTCCGTTCTGTCGGGCCTGTCGAACGGCTTTGCCCCACGCCGCACGGAGCTGCTCGTCGCCTCTACCTGCTTCGTTGCCTTCGACTTCGGCGACGCGTTCCTCGAGCATGGCCTCCACTCGGCGCATACGATGGTACGTATCGGCCATGTTGCCATTGACGTTCATGTACGAGTGGATCTTCATGAGCATCGACAACGTGTGCAGGACAAAAAATCCGCTTTGAACCCAAGGCCACTCCCTGTACCTGGCCCACTTGATCACCGCACCCAGCAACGCAGCCTGCCACAAGTGCTGGAACACCACCGCCGTGGGCCAGTACCTGACCCAGCCCCTCTTGCACACCTTGGCAAAGGGTACGCAGATGAACAGTGACCCGATCAACACGCCGTCCGACAGCGCGAGCATCCAAGCGTCTCTGCTGAACAGCGTGGCGAACGTCATGCTCAACACCTGACCGGTGCTGGCAAAGCTCGTGTACGAAGTGTTGAGCACGAACAGCGCCAGACACACCCAGAAGAGCGTGAAGAATCCGCGAAACTGATCGCGCGAGGAGGTCTCGTTGAATCGGTCAAAGTGGCTCTGTCGAGGTTTGAAGCTGACCACTGCGCGCATCTTCTTGCGCGCCTTGGTGGAGGCGGCGACGGGTTTGAGGTGGATGGCGCCATCCTTGCCAACTCTGTGCGAGAGGCCCTTGGCGCCAATGTGCTGGAACTCGACGGTGGAGGAGCCGGTGCCTTGGGATGTGGAGATGGTGGTGGTGACCGTTGAAGTGGCGACGCTAGGTTCGCCCTCTGAGTCGGAAGTGCCGGGACCGTTGAGCGGAGTCGAGGGGATGTCGGAGGAGGGCACCATCTCGGAAGCGGGTGTGGAAATGACAGATGATGCGATAGAGTCTGGAAGGTCGGCGGCGAGCTGAGCTACTTTGGGATGTTGCTTGGCGAGGAAATCCTCTTCGACGGGAAGTGGCCGAGTCTTGGCCTTGGAGGCGCTGTGGGAGGGCATCGCTGCGAAACTTTTATACGAAGCAAGACCGCACGAAAGCAAACGCGTACCGATGCAGCGGTAGAGCCGATGAGAGCGAGTCGCGGTTCAGGCGTTCATGCGAATCGACAGAGCCGGCGACTGTTGTGCGGTTGTGGTTCGGATGTAAATCCGAGCGAGCGGACGGAGATCGCTTGCCGCCGGTGACGCTTAGATGCGGTGGTCGGAACGGACGACAGTCTGTGGGTGGTCTCAGTGAGCCGCTGCAAGTGATGGACGTGGTTGACACTTGTTGTCGTGGTTCGGAAGGAAGCCGCCGAGTGTCGGGAAATAGGCCGTCGTCTGCCGAGCAAATGCAACGATTCGGGAACGCACTTCCGAAAGTCCAATAGTCGATCAAGCTGCTCTAGCTCTGAACCGGATACCGCGCGACAAGTCTGTCTGTGATGCGTCGATTGTGTGCTTGTGGCAACTTGTGCCTGTGATCGTTGTTCACGAGACAAATGAAGCCCGGAAGCTTTTTTCCATGTGACACAGAGTCAACTACTTTTCTCTTTTTGCAAAGTTGGACGTGTCATACACCGCCAAGCGCTCGAGAGGAAGAATCCGTGCGCGACATCCGCCCCTTTTCGAAATATTTTTGCGCTGCACGTCACTCCTGACGATGCTCGGCCAAAATGCAGCGCGCAGCAAAATGTCACCGCCACGCCGCCCAACCGAGTGCAACACTTGCAAACGTGGCAACCTGGGCATCGTCATCGTCTCCATCGACTCAGCCCTTTCGATCTTCAGGACCCTGCTTCACCAAACGAAGCATTCATGCCATCAACTCCAGCACCATTGTTTCACTGGTGGTGCAACTTCCTCACCCACTGGGCGGGATCAGAAGCTCACAGGAAGAAAAAACAAAAGAAGAATCAAAAAGAAATTGTTCCCGGCCAGGGAATCGAACCCTGATCTGAGCAGTTGATGTGGCTGAAAGGAGCCAGTCTGAGAGTGCCCTATACTAACCATTGTACTAACTGGGACGCTTTGGTTGTAGACTTTTCCATTTGTTGCATACATATAGAGTGAATATTATTAGTGTGAAGGACTATCAATGCGGGGTAAGCTCTAAACTGCACGAACCCTCTCCTCCTTCCCATCTTCCCATCCTCACGTCGATCCCTACGAAATGACATCTTCAACCGCCAACTATTCCATCGGCAACGACCGCTTCTCCAGCGAAGCAGCTACCTGGGATAGCAAACCCGAGGTGGTCGAATCCTCCCGTCTCTGTCTCCGCTCTATCCTCTCGCATTCTTCGACCCACTTTGCTAGCCTCTCCACCTCTCGCGTGCTGGAAATTGGGTGTGGGACGGGACTTCTCACTATCCCACTCGCGGAGCATGTCGAATCCGTGCTAGCGCTGGATACGGCGAGTGGGATGATCGATATGCTGCACTCCAAGATCCGCACAGAAGGGTTGGACGGGAAGGTGCAGGCGAAGGTCAAGTTGTTGGAGAGCTCGGACGATGAGGTGCTGGAGGGGAGGAGATTCGATGCGGCAGTGAGTCACTTGGTGTTCCATCACGTGCCGGATATGTCGCAGCTGGTGAAGGTGATGTGGGGTACGTTGAAGCAAGGGGGTAGGATCTGGGTGAGCGATTTCGAGGATGACGGGGTACAGGCGGAGAGGTTTCATCCGAAAGACAAGCATGCCGGTGTCGAGAGACATGGGTTGAAGAGGAACGTGATGGAGGGGATCTTGACACAAGCTGGGTTCGACAAGGTCGAGGTATTCGAGAGCTTCAAGATGGACAAGACGGTGGAGGATGGGAGCGTACAAAGCTTTCCATTTCTGGCGATGACCGGTGTTCGGTCGTAGACACTCGATTGCAAGTGGACCCACCAAAGAGGGTCGATGTGAAGCGAATGACAGCTCTCTGAACAAGAAACGCACATGAGGAGGTCCCGAGCAAGCCAAGATGTGAACGAGACGGTTGACGACGGCAACTCACAGAGCTTCCCGCGCTTGTGTCATACCGGCAATCAAGCGCGAGCAGACACATCCAGGGGGTTCAACACCAGCGACCGACAACAAACGCACTGCGCTTCGCCGTCAGAACAACCAATGGCATCTTGAGTATCAATCACGAAGTGCATCCTCCACCGATCACATCCCCGCTTCCTCGTCCTCGACCCGCGCACACTCCAACATCCACACCTCCTTCAGCACCTCCAACGTCCTCCCCTGATTGGCCTTCACCACATGTACCCCATCCCATCTCTCCCTGTCGTCCCGCAAACCCTCTCTCTGCTGTAGCGCTTCCTGGATCGCTGTCCATCTCGTCAATAGATCGTTCCAAAAAGTCACCTCGTCCTCTGACCCGTCTACACCTCTCGCCGCTGCATCTAGATCCACCGTTCTCGCTAGCAGGTCGTCCCTCACGGCTGCGGCTTGATCGATCATACTTCCGCCGTCGCTCTGCGGGACTCTGACCAATGCTCGCATCAACGCGGTGTACGTTGCTAGGGTCGCTGGTGGGAACGAGGCTTTTTCCCGCGTCTCCTGCTCGCTCCATCCTTGCTCGAGCGACGAGACGGTACGGATACCAACGGCACGTGTCAGCACCTCGGTCGTAGAACCCCACCTCTCCCTCCCCTCTCTAGCGAGGCAGTCCAACGCAATGGTCCAGGTTGAGATGCTCGGTCGAACGCGGAATGCTTCCGTCATATCGCGAATCACGTCCAATACCGCTTCACTTGATCCCCATTTCTCGACTTGTTGGTCGGGAGAAGTGAATTCTAGGCGTGCGAAAGCCCGAACGAATGGGTCGAGAGTGAAACTGCTGGGTCGTTGCGATGGTGGCCATTGGTCGAAGGACAATTCTCCGCCCGCTGTCGTCGGCAGAGAAGACTCTTTCCACTTTGCATACACTTGCTGGAGACGCGCGTAGTCTTGGGCGTCGACGCAGATGCCGACGAGAGCTTTCAGCATCAGATTGATGGCGTGTGTCGAAGGCCAGTGTTTGCCGCGCATGCTCTGCGCCTCGTCCAACTCGTCTCTCTGGTCGACCTGTGGCGATGTTGCTTGGTCCAGCGCAAGAGATACAAGCTCGTTCGAAATGCCTCCCGATGGGATCTTGAAACCTGCTTTGCCGGTATAGAAGTGCGCAGCTTCCTTCCATCTACCTTTCTTGACCAATCCATATAGCCTCGCCGTTTCCCACAGTCCTCTGCCGCCACGGACGGATGAGAGTCGGATGCGGACCGGTCGGAGAAAGCTTTCGGCCGTCAAGGATTCTTGCATCGAACCTGAAAGACTTTCAGGATCGGGCGTGTGATGCATGTCTGTTTCGGTGAGCGAAGAGGTGACGGCGATAGTGCCGAGTTTGTAGACTGTATCTTGCAGTTCCGATAGTACTCGTGCGGATGGAAGGTGGGCAAACACCGAGCTGCGTTCTTCATCGTATTCTGGTAGAACGTCGTCTTCTCCGCTTCGCACTCGCGTCACGGATCGGAGCACAGAGAGTAGGTGCTCTCGTGCCGCGATAACGTCACCTTGCTCGAGACAAGTCTGGATGGCGCTGTCGAGCCCAGAAGCAGGTCTCTGCGCATAATCGCTTTCTTCCGTTCTGAAGGCAGCTTCTCGATTGATGCGTGCGACAACTGCATCGACGTCGGTGGCTCGATGCCGTTCGAGCCTCGCAGGAGACCTCGCCAGTCCTTGCGCCAGCGTTCGAGCCTGCTCGACAAAGTAGCCGTCTGCTTTGACCAGCTCCTCCATGAGCAGATTCTCCGTAAAAGGTTCGACTAGCAAGATCTGTGCCAATGCACTTTGCGCTTGCCCCACCTCGACACACTTTTGCGCCCAATGTATCGCATCCTCCAATCTCCCCGCTAGTGCCAGAGTACGTATCCCTAGGTTGTAAAGCGATCTTAGTTCCAGCGTTGCAGCCAAGATCGCTGGTCTGAGTGCTTCGTCCTTCAACCCTCTCTGGCTCTGGTTCGCCAGGACGAGCCTATGAAAGTATTCCCATGCTAACTCCGGATTTGAAACGTTGCTGTGCGCTATCCTCCCTGTGCCAAAACGCAGAATCTGAGCCAAGGTAGCTTGCAATACACTCCACATTCCCTTCTGAGCAGCGACCATGCTTGCCTGTTGCAACAATCGTAGATCGTCTCCGTGCGAATCGAGTAGTACCATGAAGCATTTTCGGAAATTGTTGGCAATGGATCTCGCTTGAGATGTGTTTTTGGTTGTAGATGCGGTGTTGAGGTGTTTCGTACCGGGTGCGTAGCCAGGACAGAGACGCATCCAAGCAAGCATGTCCTTTTTCCTTCCATGACGAATAGACCATAATGCAGCGGTAGAGTAGACGGGCAGCGGCTCGGTGAGCGGGGATTTGAGGGCAAGGAGCTCGTTGAGAACGGTGGTGGCTGTTTCGAAGTCTTGTTGGTCGATAAGTCGGACGAGCAGCTGTGATGGAGCAGAGAGAGAAGAAGAGGAGGTGCTCGCAGGTGTCGCGGTGAAGAAGTCATCTCGTTCGGAGACTGTCGCTCGATGAACGACGGCAGATGTGGAGGCGTGTTGGGTATATGCGTCGTCCTCTGGCTCAAAGAGAGAGTAGTCGACGCCGCGAGGATCGATCTCGTTGTTGGACCCTGGAAGCGGATATGCTGGGTTGGATGTAGAGTAGGCAAAGGCAAAGAGGGAGCGGCCCGGTCGTTTTCCCTTTGCTTTGGAGAACGAGGCGACATACTTCGTGTGTGATAATGATAGTGGTGATGCTGGAGAGGAGGTCGAGGCCGAGGTCGAACTCGAAGCGGGCCAGGCGTAGCCAGGGTATACCGCCGCGGAGCTCAACACTCGACGCTGTTGAGTCGGCTGCAACCAGGAGCGGCAAGCATCCTGAGCGGGCAAAATACCCTGTGATCGCCTCATAGGAGCTATTGGCAACCTGTTGCGTCGCTCGAATGCCTCATCTGGATGATTGGAGTCGATCCGGTAGGTTGCAAAGCGAGAAGAAGCACAAGAAGAATTGGCCGAACAAAGCTTTCCGACACTTTCAACCAAAGCCGAAACCCGGATCTTTCATTTGGCAAGAGCTGTTATGCCGAAAATCAACTCAAGCTCTGAATATTTCGGCAAAGCCGTTGCTTCCACGTCAACTGAGCTGCACAGCAGCAGTTGTGTGGGGAAGCAAAAGACCAACACTTCTATCTCTCTCTCCCCTCCTCTCTTGCTCTCCATCACCCGTCGACGACGCCCTCCCGCCCACAATGCCGGCCCCACTTCGATGGACATGCAGCCTGGTGCTGCTGGCCATCTACCTCATCGGCACTTCCAACGCAGCTCTCTTTGCCAAAAACTCCAAAGTCACCATTCTCGATTCCTCCAACTTCAAACGCGAGGTGCTCGATATTGAGAAGCCTACCATGGTCGCGTTCACGGCTCCCTGGTGTGGGCACTGTCAAAAGCTCGTTCCCGACTACTCGAAAGTTGCCGCGCAGCTCGACGGCGTGGTTAAGCTGGCTTCTATCGATTGCGACGATGACAAGAACAAACCCACCTGCGGCAAGTACGGCATTCAGGGTTTCCCAACACTCAAGCTCTTCCCTCCAACCAAGAAGCGCCTGCCCAAAGACTATCAGGGTCCTCGATCAGCAAAGGATATCGCTGCGTACATGGTGGATGCTCTCCCGCTCGGAGCCAAGAAGCTCAAGGCTGAAGAGTTGCAAGAGTTTGCCGACGAAGATGCGGAAACACCCAAGGTGATCCTTTTCTCGAAAAAGCCCACCAGCTCTCCATTGTACAAGAGCTTGGCGTTGGATTTCAGGAGGAGCGTGTCGTTCGCATTCCTCAGAGGAGACCAGAGACCCGTGCAGGCTGCCGCGAGGATTCATCTCGGTGTCGATGTCAACGACGACAAGCTGCCGTACCTTATCGTTGTCCCTTCGCGTGCCGACGGAGAAGAGCTCGACAAGAGCAAAGTCAAGGGGTACACCGGTGCATTGAAGTATAACGAGCTCAACGCCTGGATTCAAAAGACAATCCCGGAAGCAAAGTCGGGCAAAGTTAAGAAGGTGCCGACCAAAGCGAATGTCAAGAAGAAACCCGTCAAACTGGATCAGGACATTCGAGACGTTCCGGACGGCGCCAACAGGGAGTGGAGGGTGGAAGAGGATATGACCGAGGCAGAGAAGCAGAAGAAGATGGAGGAACTGGCAGAGATGCTCAACACCGCCATCAAACAGTCGAACGACCTTCGCGATGGAAAGGCTCCTTCTTCTGCCGACAGCGGCAACAGCGAGACGCCTCCCACCGCAGATAGCGACGCCGATTCGTTCGCCCAGACCAGCGACAGCAACTCTCACTCGTCCTCATCGTCATCCTCCTACTCTTCCTCCACCGATTCTGACGGAAAAGTCACCACCGATCGCTCTGCCTCCTACTCCTCCTCCGGCGACACCCCCGACTCCGGCTCCACCTACAAAGTTTCCTCCCACTCCGATTCCGACGACGTCTCTCTCAAAGAAAACCTCCAACGCTGGCTCGACGGCGAACAGGTCGATTGGAACTCCGACTACGCCACCCAGTTCAAAGACGCCCAACGTGCCGCCGAAGACCTCATCGCCAATGACCCCGAAAAAGCCGACCAGATGGCACTGGAGAGCGAAAAGTGGCTAGCCCACTATCTCGTCTCCGACCTCGAAATGATGAAAATCGCCAGGGACAAGGGCAACCAGGACCCCGCCGTCGCAGACGACAAGATCGAACGCATCGAAAGAATGTACAACGAGATCGTCAAGAGGATCGAGGAGAGAGAACTCAAGGTCAAGCAAGCCGCCAAGGACGAAACCCCAGCAACCAGCCACGACGAGCTCTAGTCTTCACATCTGTACATCCTCTCATCCACTTGACACTCCAATACAACTCATTCATCACAGCTCGCGCCCCACACACACCTTCTGTCTGTCTCAAGAAAACGCCGCTGCGCCGTTCCATTGCATCGCCTCAATCAACCTGACCCCTCCCCCTTCTTCCCATTCCTATGCCCGCCCGGATTGTGCTCCACATACGGGCCGTTACCCACAGCACTCGCCTTTCTGTACGAATGGCACGCATGCGCATGCTTGAAAAACGCAGCAAAGTTCCTCCTCCTCTTGGCCGTGCAGATCAACACCCACTCCTTGCACTGATGACACTTGGCCTCCACGGTACCCGCCGCATCCGCGTACACCTTGAGATGCGTCGGCGCGGTGAACCTCAACCCAGACACCGACGAGATCCCATGCTTGTGCACCTGGTCGTACCAATACTGCGAGTTCTTCAGCTGCAACCAGTTGCCACTCTCGCACCGATCGCACCACGCCTCCCTCGCATTCCCCGATCCCCTCACCCACCGAGGCGTATACAGATCACCCGGAAACCGCAGCTTGTCCGTCTGACGTCGTGGACGATCCTCCTCGTTCTCCACCTCGAAGTCCTCCTTCGGCGGGTCCGCCATCCCCGTTCGAAGCTCGCAATGCTGGTCGTAGTACACATCCTCCATCTTGCTACCCGCCGGTGCTCGCAGCACAATGTCCGTGGTGATGTGGAACGGAGTATTGGCGAGAACGTTGGCCTGCTGCACGGCAGATGCGGACGACGACGACCGGTCGCGCTGCTGACGCTTGTCGACGGTGCCCGCAAGACCGCTGGGCGAAGGGTAGCCTGCTTCGATGCCGTAGCGCACGCCAGCAGAGGTGTCGCGCCAGGCCGGGTTGGGCGAAGAGCTCGAGGTGCTCATAGATCCAGCGACGCCAGAGTGCGAGGTCGTCTGGCTCCACGGACTCCACTGTGCACTGGGATACCCAGCACCACTGCGCTGCGTCGAAGAGGCCGCAGGCGACTGCTGTGCTCCATACTGATCCGAGGGCAGCGAGGGTCGCCGAGGATCGCTGTGAGAATAAGGGCGGTATCCGCTCATCATGCCGCTGATCGGAGCAGACGGTCTCGAAAACGACATGTTGGCGGCAAGAGAGTACCTGCGCGTCGCAGAGTCGTGGGCTTCGCCGGCGGCCCCGTGCGCAGATCCAGCCATGGCATCCTCGTCGTACTGTCGCTTGCCCAACGTCGACTGTGGGAACTCGTAGCCGCCAATCTCAAAGCCGCCAGGGTTGGTCCAGGCAGGTCGCGATGCTGTGCGCGTCTCTGGCAGCGGCGGAGGCTGCAAGCGTCGGTTGCCGTAGTGACTCGGCGCATCTTCAGGCGCTGCATGAGACTCGGCAGGCCACCACTGGCTCGAGTGAGGAGCATCAGCAAATGAATCTGAAGATCGACCGTGCTGGTAGCTGGGCCTGCTGCGTGAATAGTGACGATCGCCCGCCGGAGCGACGTCCGAGTTGCCGCGAGATCGAGAGCCATCGGCGGATGTTCCTCCTGCGAGTCCCGAAGGTGCAGGCAGACTGGAATAGGACTGATGCTGTTCAGCAGCCGGATACGAAGCCGACTGTGATTGTTGTTGCTGCTGTTGCTGTTGCTGCCAAACATGGTGCTGCTGGAATGGCTGATCCTCGTAATTGCCGTGGAAGCCCATGGTCATCGCGATGGTGTCACGGGGAACGTCCCAAATTGAGGTAGCAGCCTCGACCTCAGAGGCACGGACAGGTTCCAGATGTTCACCTTTGCCGGAGGACTGTGGCACACGAGGAGAGCGCGACTTGCCATGCGGCGCCCCAGTGAGACTGTTCCAGATACCCTTCATGCCGTCCCCCCAGAGATGCGAGCCATCCTCGAGGTGCCGAGAGTGCTGCAACTGATCAGAGCGATGGTGCGAGTGAGCGTAAGCACCCGTGGTTGATAGGTGATGGTGCGAACTGGCTGTCGCTGATGAGGGTGTTCGACGTGCAGGCGAGCGCGGTGCAGCCATGGTGAGGGGTCGAGGGTATGCGAGAAGCGGTTCGCCTTCGCGAGGGCTCACAGGTTCGTTGGGAGGACTCGAGCGTGAAGACAAGGACTTTGACGACGAGGGGCTCGACAACGAAGCGATCGAAGTACGGTGAGTGTGCGGTGGAGACGAAGATGATGTCGAGGCGTGAGCTTTGCGACCACGATCGAGGTCAGACCCGCGAGTCACCGAGGAGATTGGAGGTAAGGTGGTGGCAGGAGACGAGGTGGATGGCAGGGGTGTCCGGCTTGCAGGAGACGCTTCCCGGTAGTATCGGTCGTGGCGCCACGAACCGCTTTGCATGTCTGAGGTGCAACGATGTGATCACTGCGACAATGAGAAATGAGTCCAATCAGTGAGCGAGATCGAAGCGAATCACAGGTGATTATGCAGTCGATGTGACAAGAGCCATGCGAGGTTGTCGAAGGATGATCGGCACTCGCGAGGGTAACGCGGCGTGCGAAGGTGAGACGAATGGCCTGCTCCGATGATGAACGCGAGGTAGATCTCGAGCGTCCTCGGAGGATGCGAATGTGAAGCGGTCACAGAAAGATGGACGTCACAAAGAAAGGGGAGGGGGAAGGGTAGGGGAGAGAGGGAATGGCAGTCGAGGTCAATCGGCTAGAGAAGCGACTTTAAAGGATACGGACCGAAGGCAAGGAAGGGCCAAGCTGACAGGATCGGCGGAAGTAGCCCGAAGTGAAGCAAGACGGAGTGTCGAACCACACATGGGATTCAACCAAGAGGGCGAAGCAGTGGAACAAGGGCGGAACAAGGGCAGATGAAATCAGGACGGGTTCTCGGATATAGGGATATAGCGAGGCGTGCATCGACGAGCTGAGCTGCAGGACGCTCCACGGAAGAAGTCGCATCAGCCGGACCTGATGCCAAAGAGCAGAGCGACACGAAACCCACCTTGCAACGGCGGAAGACGGCGTCTCATACGAAGAAAGCGAACGACACGCGAGACAGTCGGAGCTGGTAGAACCACGGTCACTGACGGAGGCGGAGAGCGACACATAGGGAGTGCGGGAGGTTTGCGTGTGCCTGAACCAATCGGTACGAGCGATACTTGGACACACGAGAAACAATGCAAGGTGGGAAAAGCGAGCAAGCCACTCACACGGCAGGGATCATGCATGTGCATCGACGTGGGCCACGGACGGCAGGCTTCTTTTTCTGTCTGCATTAGCCCCCTGCATCGAAGCAAGGTGGCAAGCGGGTGAGCTTCGTATGCAGTCCAGATGACAGTCCGACAGGCATGACGAGCGAGGTTCACCGGGGACGACAACACGGATACGCGAGACCGAACCACCCAAGAATCAGGCGGCAATGGGCGAACGATCCAGCAATGAACGACCGAAGCACCCAACGAGCAGATCCAACGGAAGCCCCGACGGCAACCACTTGTGCAGACAGAGGGCCGGTCGGGCTCGACGACAGCGAGCAGGCATCACAGCCGAAGCAGACTCGTCGACGACGAGCGTTCGAGCAAGTAGCGTGGGATCTCCAATGCTTAGCCAGCGGCGCCTGTGGTCTTCGTCGACGGCGGCCAAGCGAGCATGGCGCTCTGTGTTCCGACGAGGGACGCAATTGCGTGGGCGAGACATCGCTTCCGGTGTGCCTGGCGAAATTGGCGAGCATGGTTTGTACCCAGGCAAGGAACTCATGGCAAAGCAGCAGGAATCATGAGCTCTATTCTTGATTCTCTCAGATCAAGTCGACGGCCCTCAGTAATCCCTGCGACAGTCGGCACTTTCTGCGCCTTCCGAATGGTTATTTTCAATTACTGAAGGAAAAAATAAATAAATCATCTGCCTCACGAGTTCTTGACTTTTTTTCTGCTTTCTGTTTGTTTCATTTCATAGCAATCTTTTTATTTATTTATTTGGACAATCACGTAATGCTACTCATCTCTGCTTTCCGCGGGATGTTATCCCCCCCCGCTTTGCAATGACAGCTGATCGTGGGCTATCTTCCAAAAGGAGCCATACATCCCTCGTCCAGAAGATGGCGTCGTTCGCATAAGGCAATGAATTATGCACAAACCCCCTGCAATGGGCTTACTCGGTCTCTGTCTGCTGCTTGCTCTCGAGTCGGATGCTCGGCCACCTTCAATTCGTCCTGCCGACCGCTCAGCCGAGAAAGCCACCGAACACCACTTTTGTGACAGCTTCGGTGCATGATCATGGCTAAACCTTCGACAAGCCAGGCACCGACACAGACGCACACAGTCTACCCCTCCCGGAACAGAGCATAGCAGGCCAGGCCTCCGCTACCCTCGAAGAGTCAAGTGCATTTCTCTCCTCGATACAGTTGTATGTTCACACGCGCAAGGGATCGTCCGCGCACAAGCGAGGCGAACTTGACTGCGCGCGTGTTTCTCGAAGCGGTACACTAATGGGCGCTTACATCGGCCATGGGAAAATCCGCGGTCTGGCCGTCGGATAATCCGAAAAGTGCATCGCAACGCTGCACGCTGCAAGCTGCAAGCGAGTCCCACCCGCAAAGCGGCACACTCAAAATTTTCGGTTGAATCGAGGCGGCGCGGCTTTTCCAGCTACTATTTTTTTTCTTGGCATTATTAAATAATGATGGAAATCTTGCCCATCTTTGCCCTGTTCGGTAGAACTACAAAATGAGCTGACATGTGTCTCACATGCATTGACCTTCTCGCTTCTGCAAACAGTGCAGCAGCATCGAGGGTTCTAGCGTAATCTCATTGAAGCCATCTTTGTCTCGTCGACAAACCGATGCCGAGACGGACGTTGATCAACGCGCCCTGTCAGCTCTGACCTGAGCGTCTCCGGGCGTGAAATATCACGTCTAGCTGGTGTCTGAATTGTGGCCGTATTCGAGCAGGACGTCTGCAACTGCGTCGGCTCGGTTCCGGGAACATGGGCGGAGTTCAGATTCGGCATGATGGCTCGATTGTCTATCATCGATGGGTCGCCGATCCGATTTCAGGCAATCATGCTGCCAGGCTTCTACAGTGTAACGTGTTCAAATGAGGTGTTTGCTGCTGTGACCTTGCGCAAGCAGGAACAATTGCGTTTCGTCCCACATTTCTCCGCGAGCCCCTGATTAAAAAGTAAAAAATAATAATAAGGAAGCTCTTCGCCCAGAGGGACGACGGAAATATGACTTACCGACTAGAACTATTACAACAGCTGCCAGCCGTATCGGAGCGACCCAGATGCTGTACGATCGAATTTTTCGCACCAGCATCGTGGGACAATGACTGCGCCCTTACTTACGCCAACCGACCTAAATTCGCTTGTCGTCCTGAGCTGATCAGATGCAGATCCATTGTGCGGCTGTGGTTGCTGCGACATTATTGTTCACAGATGAAGCATGAGACTCGGCAAGAGGCTTCTACTCGACCGTTACTGTGTCCATCGCCTTTCGGGAGGGACCGTCGGGAGCAGCATGACAGTCGACAAAAGGAGACCTGGGACGGGCTCATTCGTCTCATCGTTGACATGCGCTTGTCTCGCGTGCTGATCACGCCGCGTCTCGGCTATGAGGCAGTTGAAGAGCAGAGCCGATCGATGCATCGGGTTTTGTTCTGCAAAGACACCACGGGCCCAGGAGCTTCATGGGCCTGCCTTGGCGACGTTGAGATGTGATGCTGTTTATGTCTTGCTAAGAAATTAGCTGATTTAGGGATTCTCCATGCGAGATGCAGGATCCGGCACCGACGTCGTGGGAGAATCCGCGCTCCGGAATGCTTTTCCCGGTCTCGGTTGCTTCGCTGAAAAAGCGTCCATCCCTCGCTCTTCCCTTTCCCTTTATTGAGTCTCCAACGTCGAAGTGTTGAGAGTGCATGCGCATGCATCGATCGTGCAGCGTCAGACGTGTCAAGGATGATCCAGTAGTAAATGAGAAGCCTCTGTCTTGAGCGAGCAACAAGATCGGTGGGCTTTGCAGGTGCCGTCCTGTCACTTTTTCCGTTCTGATTTCGATGCATCCTCGTTCGTCGGAGCTCCAGACGCGCCGCACAATCAGATTTCAGCACCACAGCATGAAAAATCTGTGACCGAGCGGCTGGGCGACCTGAAACCCGTCGGAAGCCCCAATCGTTCTCCGACCACCCTTCAGCCCTGTCTCGAAACTTGTTATGTTTACAATGGAAAGCTTACGGGTCCCACGAATTGGCCGGCCAAGGTCTTCATCGAAGGACAGGCGTATCCAGAACGGTCAACTTTGCTACTTTCACGACCATGACAAGATCAGGGCGGTTCTGTTCTTCGATGGCCCCTTTTGATGTGTGTCTCGTGTTGGCCTACAGACGTCCACCATTTTTGTGTTGCAAAGACCCGACGAGCACCAAAGTCAGCACGGTCGGGATCGACCTGTCGCTTTGATCCCGGCGAATTCTTGGTCGAGACCCAAGGAGGTGTAAAAAAAAAAAAGAGAAGAAACACGGAAAAAATGCAAAAGTGAGTGTGCCAAGCAGTAGCTTATCGTTGCTTGCAAGCCACAATGAAATTCCCGCTGCTCTCCCCCGCGTCATGATCATTGTTGTCGGGCATGCGCGCGCTTCCGTTGGAACCTCAAGACAAGCTCGGCATACGGAGATCGCAGCTTGAACCGTGTCGCTTCACGCCCCTCTGGGAACGCTGTAAACCTCGGTTAGCTCGTTCGTGGTCGCTCCCGTTCCTGAAAGTAAAAAAGAAGGCTTGCTCTACAGCGAGATGCAACGAGATGCGTAATCTCGGCTGATGCGAGCGTGGGTCGATGCAACAGTTCGGCAAGCCTCGCGGCCACGTCAGACGGCGGCGATGATCATCCTCGATTGCATCTCTGCGCCGTACACCTCACCGACGTCATGCGTTTCTGGCGTGCGCAACCCATCTTCCTGTCGAAGTTTCAGCAACCACACGGTGTGGACAGTACGCGGACAAGATGGTTTTGGGTTTGCTTTCGCAGGTTGACCGTCTCCACGATCAAGGCTCTCAAAGAACGCTGAGGACCCTTCCACAAGTGTTCGGGCTCCGCCGCTTGCAGGAGTGGACATGCATCCCATCGTAGCGGTGCTCGTCGCTGATGGCTGACCCTCCCCCCTTTTTGCTGCAATTTGGGGATGCGGATCGTTGGCAGCCTTCTAAATCGCGCCTCACCCTTTGCTCGAGTGTGTGTGAAATAAAGCAAATATCCAACTCCGATAAGCCGGTTCGTCTTGTCTTCCAGCTGGACCGCGTGGCAAGAGTGCTGGAGGAGGCAGGGTTGACCTTTTCCTGTTGCACTCGTCGTCTGGCTTCGAAATACGAGCCTTTCGCAGGGTTGCTTCCGTCGGGATCAGCTGCAGGCATGACAATCTTTATTGTCTCCTCTCGTCGGGGGCCGAAATTTGTCTCTCCTGTCAGAGACCGAAGACGTGGACCGCGACAAGTTTTGCGCGGTGCGCTTTCCTACAAGGCATGTACCAGCATGTCCGACTGCGCAACGCTGTTTGTCGTGCTGAGGCTATTGCGCTGAAAATGCATCTTCTGCCTTGCCCTCCGTAAGTCCGAGTCGCCGACTGGTCGTCTTCTTCTTATGGCGTATTGCCATCGCTCCTGCCCGAACGTCATACCAGACTTTGCCCAACCACTTTCGGATTCGCCTGATTGGTTTCTTGCGTGTATTTGCGCAAATTCAATTGGTCGACCGAAATAAAGGCGATCGAAGAGGGCTGTCCGTGAGCTCGTGATTGCGCTTCCCGCCATCCGTCTCGCTTAGATTTTCGCCGGAAACAGCGTATCGTGCTGCCAAGACCACCCAGCTTACGGGAATTGGTCTTGTATTTTGAACCGTTTCGCATGGTTCATGCACTTGATTCCAGGCCGCAAGCGAGTCCGGACAAGAATGGTTCAGAGCAAGGGCGTTGAGAAGGACGCTAACGTCATGACGAGCTGCTCGGATGAAAATAATCCATCGACAAGACGAGCAACCGGCAACCTTACATTTCGGAGTTCCGACCGCGCCTGGGCCCGAAACTTTTCGAGCACACCCGTGTGGCCTTGACTTTGAATCTACTGCAAGTACGCGAATGCCTTATGCTCGTCGATGTCGTCGGAAGCTCGGCGCGGTGACGAAATTCGACTTCGCGGCTAGGGAAGCCTCCATCCTTTCGATCGAATACAAGCAGCACGGCTCCCACGCACGGTAGTTTGTGCCAGGTGAGAGGACGTGCACGACGCACAGGCCGTTGAGCTCCCGTGGAATTGCTTTGGGGCAGCAGTCTCGATTAGGGCGAGTCTGCGCTTTCCGAATCGCGAGCGAAGTTGAGCTAGCAGCCTCAAATTGCAATTAGACCCACGGGCACGCGAGTTCGGCAGCGTTGGAAGGGTCTCGATCATGATCGTGTAAGCGAGGGTGCAGATAGCGAGCAAGGACGAGCGACTTGTGGGAGTTGCTTCGGATCCGAAGCTGCGTCGTGGACCTACCTCGAATGATTCAGGAGACCAGCGGAAGGGAGGCATTAATAATTGCACCCAATGTGTCGTTTTGGACACCGCCGACAACCGCCTCGGTTAAGCGAGAACGATGAAAGCTCGTCTCTGAAGCGAGAGAGTGTCGAACCGAATGCCCTGATTACCGCCGCACCGCCAATAATAAGGCTTCGAAACACAAGGTGGCACTCTGCTGTCGGATAAAGATTCGATTCGACTCTGGAATAGCTAGACGGCCTCTGACGGCAAAACCGTCTGGTCGATGAACATGGCCTCGGATGTTGTCGTGCTTCCGTCTGCCGGTCAAGTTCGTCGCAGGACAGAGATGGCCGGCCGTGCAGTCTTTCAGCACTGCATCGTTGCACCTTTCGGTGGCTTTTTCGCGCTCCTTCCGTCCCGACTTTTTCTTGAAAGAAAGTTCGACGGGCGACCTCGCTTCCACGTCCTTACTCCAAGTGTATCTCGGCTTTGAGGGGTGCGAGTGGTTCAGAGACACCAGCAAACTCAGCAAACTGACTCCGCCAAGACCGCTTACGATGGACGAGAGTGCGAAGAGATGTGCATGATCTGATGAGGCCGCTCCAGCTTGCATGAACTCCAACGGAAACTTGGTAGCGCGGAGGACAAGCTTCTTTCATGCTGTTGCAAGAATTCGTGCCTGATCTCGGAATCTGGCAAATTGCATCTGAATTACTGCAGCCACACCCTCCACGGTGGTCACCGCAAACACCATTCGCTCTCGGCTTGCTAGGGTGTACCAATCATCGGTCCGTACTCATCCTCGGACAGGCTCTGCACTGCTTACCGGATGCGATTGCTCGAACAAGCAAAACGAGCAAAGCCAGAGTTACCGTCGGACGGACCTTCGCTGTTGTGTCTGGCATCCTATTGCCCGAGCCAGTTATATGCGCAGCAACGTTTGGATACGCGAGCGCGTCCTAAGCACGCAACCAAGTCGGCCAGCCACAATTTTTGGTAAGCTCGGTTATGCAGGATCGAGAGCAGCGCTTAGCGGTTTTGCCGAGCTTGCATTGTGTGTTTCGCCGCGGAGCGACTTGACAACGCACGACAGTACAGACGCGCCAGCGGAAGAGTCTGTTCGAACGTTGCAAAACTCGACGCCGCCGATAGCCCTATTTACCCAGACGTTTCTGCGATGCATTTTGGTGTCGATGTTTCGGTTTGCCGCCCTCTACCCATTATGGTCGGCGACAGCAGAGCCCACCGATGTTTCGAAATTGCCGTGCCATGCCGTGCGAACGGTCGCGTCAAGTCGCTCTTTGTCGGACGTGAGGAAGAGACGTGCCATGCTGTGCCTTGCTTTCGAGGCAGGCCGTCCCGTCAGGCAACATTTGCGACGGCGAGGCGCAGGACACGGCTTGTGTGTGCGCCCTGCAAACAAGCCCGCAGGGCAGTCGGGCATACATACGTGTATATGTGCCATTGTGCTAAGAGGGGAGTCGGGTTTTGTCTATGAGAGGATTGCCTATTGTACATAGTGAATGGTTTATGAGGAGAAAGACCGGAATCGCAGCGAGGCTGCTGATGCTGATGATCTTTACGAGTCACTCCGATGGCGAAGCAGGATGAGAGAGTCAGAGTCGGAAGTTATGACCGCCCGCCGTGCATACAAAACGTCACAGAGCGGTGAATACATGACCTAGAACCAAAACGTCTTTCCGAAGGGAACAGCAAGGAGACGCTCTGGGTCGTCCGAGGTCTGCCGAAGTTCCTTGTGTAGTTGCCAGTACGGGTCGTCCCAAGTCTCATCCGACATGGACCACGTTCCCCAATGCATGGCAAAGGCACGTCTGCTGCCGATGTCACGAGTCACCTGCACTGATTCGGTGACGTGCATGTGCTGAATCTGCATATGCCAACGAGGCTCGTACGAACCGATAGGCAAGCAGGCCACATCGAAGGGTCCAAGGGCGCGACCAATGGCGGTGAAGAGTGATGGAGAGTAACCTGTGTCACCGCAGAAGAAGAGCGACCGAGGCTCGGTTACAGCAGAGCTTGGCGAGCACGAACGAGGGGCGGTGGACGCTTGATCGTCTGTATAGACACGGACTGCGTACGAGTTCCAGAGCGTCGTGTTGGTATCAAGAGGTGTTCTGGCACTCCAGTGACTAGCAGGTACAGCAGTGACGTCGAAGCATCTTCGCCGCTCGATCGTTGTGGTATCGCCGCCGCTGCTGCCATTGTCTTTGGACGCGACTCGAATCGAAAGAGGCAGCCTCCTCTGCTGCCACCAGTCGAGCTCGACGATCCGTGTGGCTTCCACGCCGTACTGCTGGAGCAGAGGGGCGAGTCCTACGGGGACGATAAATGTCGCACGCTTGGGTATGAGCGGCAGCACATGGATGTCGAGATGGTCAAAGTGGTTATGTGTGAGCAAGACCACGTCGATGGCAGCATTCGCGACAAGCTCGTGGATGTTGCAAGGCATCGGTCGCATTCGCGTTGGGCTGAAGACACTGACGACGGGCTGTTTGCTGAAGACGGGATCTGTGAGGATGGTGACGCCTTCGAGCTGAATCAGACACGTCGATTGGCCGATCCATGTGAAAGATGATTGCGCAGCCTCACGGACAGCGGGCGGTGTCGGACCATTTGAATCAGTCGCAGCCGTACCAGACGAGGCAAAGAGTTGATCCCACTTGATGCGCTCGACCGGTAGCAGCATGTCGATCTTTTGCCTTCCTTCGTGCGTTTTCTGATCGGCTTTGAATCCACCATCCCACCAGATGCGAGGCTTGTAGAACAGGCTGTAGCAGAGCTTCCAAGCCGCCCATTCCCAAACTCCCTGCTCGCGCCATTCTGGAACCACGTTGGCGTATCGTCCGAGCACTTTGAGCGAAGAGAAACGCCGGTGTATTCTGGAGACCTCCGAATCGGTGGCGCCACCGTACCACGAGGGACCGCGCGTCGGTGTTGCGGGTGGTGACAATGCATCGGCCTCCTCATTGTGCTCAGAAGCATCAGGTAGCCCACGCTGCTTGAGGATCTTCTTCGCCTCGAGCTGGTCTGGACTGCTGCTGCTCGAGGAGCCTTTCGAGTTTGTGTGGGCAAGAACGCCGACACGCTCCGCCACGCGTACACCGGCAGAGATGGCGTGCGGTGGGAGAAGGGGAGCCCGCAAAGGATACTTGCGTTTCCGCGATGCGAGCTCTCGCCGGCGGATCGTCTCCTGCGCGAGATAGTAGAAGCCCCAACCGGCAACGTAGAGCGATGTGATCGAGACGAGCGCCGTCTTGATCTGATGGGGCTTGGTGGGTAGCATGGTTTAACAGAAGGCGGCCTGGAAGCGACTTGAGACTAGGCTAGCCCTGCTCGGTCGCCGACTCGAGGATGGGTCTCCTGCGGAGCACGCGCGGCTACGCCGAGACCTGCCTGACTGTGCTTGTAAGCAGTCCGGCGCAGAGCGCTGCCTCGAGCTGAGTGAATCTCGGGCTCTGTCCGTCGGATCAGGCGACGCGACAGCCCGCAATGCTAACGTGCGTGACGAGGAGGAGAAGTGACGTGGTGGATCATCGACAGGCTTACACGCTTCATCCGTGGATCCTTTTTTTGGCCGTTGACAGCTCGGTGGAGGTGTGCCAGGCGTTTCCTGCGTCGCGCTCTAAAACGTCACAAATTTTCCGGTGACGAAAATCAGGGTACAGAATCTTTACTCTTACTGGCCGGTGAAAGATCGTACCGGATAACCTTCTGTATCACGTCGTCTGTTGCCAGGGTTCAACGGAGGCACTCTCCGGCTTTCATGACGAGGTGCGGTATCGGGCCGATTTCCGATTGATTGCAGCCTCCACTCTGACCTCCTTTGAAACCCCTTTGTGTGTTGTTTGAAAGAGAAGACCGACATCAAAGGGACCCTGAATCTGCGCTTTCTTCCCACGGCCCAAGGTCAAGCATGACCTTCCCTTTCTTCTTTTTGCATCGGCGCAGCCGGTCGGCCACAGACAAGATCGAGCACTGCGCATCCGCATTCGCTCCCGACACAAGTCGAAGCCTCAACACAGGGTGGCCTGCCGACACACTGCGGGAGGCGAGCAGACGTAAAAGACCTTCGGCGTCGTCACATCGTGTGGTTTAGTCGACTCACCATCTTCACATCTTTTCGCACTCGGACTTGCCGGCTCACAATCACTATTCCAGTCTCCTTCCACCTCGCAGCTGAAATTCTTGCGACGAGTCAGAATGCCAGCGATTAAAGCTGCGGCGTGGCCGATGCCACTCGATAACGTGTATACACAGACATCCGACGATCAGGTTGAGACCGAAGAGGCTATCAACGCTCTTTTCTCTCGCTTCCGTCCTTCGAACCTTGACTTTGACAAGTCCACAAGCAGCAAAGGCAAGGGAGCTGGCGCCATCATCAATCCGTGGCTCTCGCCAGCGGAACAAGAGCAGCAACGAGCCCAGGGATCGGCAAACGAAGCGGCATCGCCTAAACCCACGCTGTTGCTCGAGCGGCAGGCGCACATCACTTTCCTCACAAAGCTGCTCGAACCCCTTCCGGGTGCGTTCACTGCCTTTGACACGAACCGATCTTGGTTGCTCTACTGGATCCTACACTCTTACGATTTGCTGTCGGTGTCGCTCGATCCGAAAGGACGCGCCAGAGCCATCGTCACTTTGCTCTCCTTCCAGAACAGCGGCACCGGTGGGTTTGGAGGTGGACCGGATCAGATCGCTCACCTCATGGCCACTTATGCAGCCGTATCTGCCCTCGCCATCATCGGCGGTCCAGGTCCTGCGCCCACCACCGAGGATATCGTCGATGGCAAATCGGTCGAAGTCGGTCGAGGTGGATGGGATGCCATTGACCGAGGAAAGATGTACGATTGGATATCGAGCCTCAAACAGCCAGACGGAAGCTTTTTGGTGCACACCAACGGCGAAGTGGATGTACGAGCGTCGTATTGCGTCATTTGTATCGCAACTCTGCTCGGCATATCAACTCCCACATTGTTCGGAGGCATGGCTTCCTTCGTCGCCAGTTGCCAGACATACGAAGGTGGAATCGCTGCAGCAAGCCAGCCCACGTACCAGCACTCGGCAGATCAAGGTATCTCGCTCGTGTCGCAGCTCACGCCTCGACCCGCGCTCGGCGAAGCGCATGGTGGGTACACCTATTGTGCCGCAGCGAGCCACCTCGCTCTATCGCTACTTGGCTCTTCACTTGCAGGCTCAACCGCTCCGACATCTTCATCTGCGGCACCTGCAGCGACATCTTTCGTGCTCGAATCATCAGCGCACCTGAACCGCGATTCTCTCATCCGCTGGGCGACCGCTCAGCAAGGGACTCCGTTCGAAGGCTGCGGCTTCCGCGGTCGTACCAACAAGCTTGTCGATGGCTGCTACGGCTGGTTCTCTGGCGGTGGCCTCTTCACCGTCATCTCGGCAATGGTCGAATCGGATCTCATCGAGCAAGCGCACGAATCGTCACCGACTCCAAGCAACCTTGCCGGCGCTCAAGACTGGAACGGAATGCTCACAGTACCTCCTACACCGGTCGTTCACGCTCCTTCCGTTGCCGACAGCAGCCAGAGCAGCGGTGGATCGTGGAAGACCGAGTCGAGCCTCGACTCGATTGCCACCGGCCAGAAACCAGACGAAGGCAACGCTGCCGCCGCCGTCGACGTAGATGATCTCTCCCCACTCACACTGTTCGACCGTGTCGGCCTGCAAGAGTACATCCTCGTCGCTGCCCAGCGCACCGGCTCCAAAGGTGGAGGACTGCGCGACAAACCAGGCAAAAGCCCCGATGCTTACCACACGTGTTACAATCTTTCTGGACTCAGTCTAGCGCAGCATTCGGTGCGGCTGAGCATCGAGACATCGAAATTCCTGTACCAGCATTTCCGATCGGACGGGCAGCAGCAAGATGACGAGTGGAGTAGAAAAGTGTATGCGACCATGCTGGCATGGACGCTGTCGGCAAGGGACGAGATCGTGGTGGAGGCTGCAGCGGGGACGGAAGGGGCGCAGAGCAATAGGCTGAATCCGACCCATCCGATCTTCAACATTACTTTTCCAAGGGCAAAGGCCTTCATGGACTGGTCGTACGGTCAGTCGTAGAGCTCGGAAGATCGTGACAGGGGGCTGCAATGCTATAGAATTCCGCAAAGTGACACGATTGCTACTGTTTGACAAAGTTGGGACTAGCTCGACCCCGTTCAGCCTTTCCTCTTCTTTCCATTCTTTTACACCTCGACAACCTCGGTCCCTCGCTTCGAGTGCACAGCGATCACCTTGGCTCCGTACTCGAACGGGTTTCCGTCGTACACCACAAACTCCTCCTCTCCCTCCTCCGTGTCACCCTTCTCGATGCCCAGCACGTCGTCCAACGCGGTGCTTACCAACTCGAGCACCTCCTTCTTGCCCAACAGCCCGTTCGTCTCGAGTGCAGCTCTAGTCGAGTCCCAGAGGAGGTTGCTTGCCATCCACGCTTCTTCGATCTTCAAGCCGACCTTGACGCCCGCTTTGATGAGACTCGATAGGGTCGTTTCGCGTGTCAGGGGGGGACCGGATAGACCGCGCAGTTCGTCGAATGTTCTAGGCCAGGTTTGGGGGATCAACAGGACGGGCACGTTTCGCTTTGCGATCTCTTCCGCTACTAGGTGGGCTTCAGCAGCGCCGGAGATGACGATTTTGACGTTCGGGAAGGAATCGCTCAACCTCAGAAGTTGAGAGATATGATCCGCACGCAACGCCGTCACCACCAGAGGAAGTTCCCCCCCTGCAACTCGACTCCAAACGTCGTTCTCCTCGTTGTCACCGGAAAGCAATTTCCGCAACAATCCGATCTGTTCGCTGATACTGAAGCCTTCACGGTTGTGAACCAGGGTCACGTGAACCGCAACTTCCTCCACCTCCACCGCGCCTGGCGAGAGGACAGTCTGCGCACCCGTGTCGAACTTGACCGAGATGCCGGAGAAGAACGTGTCGCTCTGAGGGAAGACGATGGCTTTGGTGACGCCGGATGCGCGAGCTCGGAGGAGGTCGTGTCCGTTGAACTGCAGGCCGTCGACGGCTCGTGCGGTGGACCAGGTGCGAAGGTATTCGGGGGTCTGGAGGATCGGGTTGGATGAGGTGGTGGGGTCGAGGGTGTAGCCGTCGGATGTGTCTGCTTCGAAGACGATGTCCGTCAGACCGAGGTTGGAGCCGAAAGACGTGAGACCGGGAAGAACTACACCGCCGTGCGCATCGATGGTTTGGATGGAGGAAGAGGGACAGACGGTGGACGAGCAGGCTTCGCCACTGCACAGCACTTTACCGTCAGCCACGACGATCGTGCCAGAGGAGGAGGAGAATGTCTCGGTGGAGATACGCTGTTCGTCGCGAGAGCGGAAGAACCGTTGGCCGACGTTGACGAACGCGGTGCAGTTGGGTGTGGGGGGTTTAGCGGAGGGGAAAGCGAGCGAGTCAAACGTGATGATCGAGTCGTAGGTGCTCTTGACTTTTTCGATATCCGAGCTAAAGTTTCCACCTTTGGGAGCAGCAAGTGCTGGCGGGTGCGTCTCGTGCTTCTCGCTATTGAGCTCTTCTTCGCTCTTGGGCAGATCAGGGCTAGGAACAGGAGCGTGCGGTCCGAGCTGCGGCACACCATCAATCACCACCTCGACCGGCGTCGCACCCATCCTCAACGGATGCGTATTCCACACCACCACATCCGCATCCCACCCCTGCCTGATGTACCCCAGCCTATGATCCAACCCCAACCTCTCCGCCGGTGCCGAAATGACGCTCCTCAACGCATCCGTTTCTGCCAACCCAAAGTGGTGTGCCTGAGCCGCCTGGTTCAAGATACGTCTCGAGTCGGTCACCGGATGATCGGATTTATACACGGGCGTGATGTTGTGAGACGCCAGGATGGCGCCTGCGAACGGTGTGCCGAAGTACGCTTCGAGCTTGTAGTTCGCATTGGTGCTGAAGATGGCGATGGCAGGGGTGACGTTTCCGTAAGTCTGTTTGAGCAGGTCCGGAACGAGGTAGGATTCGTGTGCGTGGTGGAACGCGGCGACGGAGAACTCGAATTCGTTCGAGTGACGTACGAACGCCTCGAAGTCGACTTGGGTGTAGCAGTGGGTGTTGAGCTTGACCTTGCCGCGGAGAAGGGCGACGAGCGCTTCGAGCTCGAGGTCGTCCGGGAACTCGGCCTCTGCTAGGGTCGAAGGAGAAGCATGGGACCCGTGAAGCGAGGCGAAGGATTTGGCAGAATCACAGAAGGCATCCTGCTTGTTCTTGAGGGCCTTGGCAGCGCTGAATGTCCTCCTAAAGTCCCACGCTTCGTCCATTCGAGTGATCTTGTAGACTCGACGTGCGTTTTCACCGCAGGCCATCTTCATGTAGCGCCAGCTCGAGCTGCTGTCGTTTCGGTGCAAGCCAGTTTCTACATCGTGTTGCAGAAGAGAGTGTTGAGACGAGCTGCCTTTGCCCTGACCCAAGCGGGCGAGAGACGTAGGCGGCTCGATCAGGCGATCCTGCGGGAGATGCGAAGACGGCTGTCGAAACTTGATTGGGAAAGCCTGTCCACCCATCGAGTTGGCCGAACCAGGGAGGACAAGACCGGCGGTGATGCCTCCAGCGAGCGACTTGCGGAAGGAGGCATCGTGCTGATTCATGGCGTCGACGGTGCGAAGGTAAGGGTTGATGTTCTTGCCGATGCTGTTCACATCTTGGTCACCGGCAAGAGCCGTGACGGGGCCGACAGAGAGATGCACATGCATGTCTACGAGACCGGGCGTGACCCATCGTCCGGCAGCATCGATGACCTTGATCTTGTCGACCTTGGTGCCGTGCCCGAGAAACTCGTTCTCCCGGGTGTGAGCAATGCGCTTGATGATGCCGTTAGAGAGCAAGACGTCGCGTTCGGCAAGCACCTCATGACCGTGCTGATTTCCAGTCCAGAGCGTAGCGTTGCGAATCACCACATCTTGGACGTTGGGCTCGGCTCGTTCCGAGCGTTTCCTCCTGTGGAAGTCCGCAGGAGGGCCCGCAGGCGCAAAAATCGCCTCGCATTTTGCCAGGGATGCAGAAAAGACCGACTGAACATGAGGATGAGGCGAAGGCTGATAGACGTGATGCTGAGTGCCGCTGTAGGTGGCAAAGATGCCGAGGTAATATACGAGCGTGACAAAGCCCAGCAGGGAAAGGAAAGACGATCGCAATGAAAGCGACAGGCGTGGCCTGCGGTTGGACGCCGACGGAGAGTAGCTGGGCAGCATCTCTGCCGCCAACGGCTTGTCGTTGTCGATCATCATCGTCGGTACGAGGTATGGGAACAATGTCGGCAGCGTTCCGATGATGAGGAAGGGAAGGCAGGTGTGTATCGGATCTTCCCTTGCAAAAGTGGGATGAAGACACGAGTGTCCGGCAATGCACTTGGCTCGAAATGACAGGTGCATTGGCCATCTGCACCAAACGGAGCGGACGTGATTCTTCCGACGCTCGAGTCGCGTGAGAAGCGCATGCGTCAGCTGCAATTTGTTCCGATAATCCTCAACCCGGCAACTTCGAAGCAAATCGGCGACCTGTACGGCGAAATCTCACGCAATCTAGAAACAATTGAGCTATTGGTACCACTCGCTACCCACCATCACTCTGCATCGAGGTCCTCAAGAACCAGTATGTTTGCACTTGGCAAAGCACTCGGTCAATACAATACAATGGATCAGGTCCTTCCGGAATGAGCGGATCAGGTGTGCTTCTCGCTGACGCTGGCGTTGGCGACTTCTTGCTCTACAGCAGCGATCTCTTCGGCTCGACCAGGCACAGTGACCTCCTGGAGCGCGTCGGTGTGCTCCTTGACACGCAGAGCAATCACAGGAATTACAAAGATCAATCCAGCAGCACAGAGACCCCAGGTGACCGCCAAGTTGGTCATGAACGGGTGCTTGTCGTTGTCCATACAGAGTGAGAGGGATAGGGAAAGAGGCGTTTCAGCGACCTGGTCTTACAGCCTCGCTTAACGGCCAAGGCACAAACGCTCAGAGTTGATTGGTCGTACAACAACCGTACCCTCAGTATTCTCGAATTCCAGCACAGCACTCGACCTATCAACCCGCGAAAACCGTTCCATTATTGCCCTTGTTTGCTCAAGCACTGTCTTTGACAGCTTTGTTTGCGTTTCATAGCATTAGTCTTTGCTATCGACGTTCGCGGGTTGTGACATTAGTCGATCAACGAGGCGACCGCGATGCCTCGTTTGCTGGACAAGGCGAATAGGACTTTGAAATCATCGGATTCGACTCCGCTCTTGGATCGGCGGCATCGGACGAGGCTCCGAGCTGTGCGTGGTCTCTGCAGTTCTTCTCTCATGGTGTAAGGCATCCCTGCAAAGACAAGCACGCGAGCAGCAGTTTGCTATCTCGGCGAAAGCGCCGAATGTACCTTGGTCCTTGCCCGCTCCTTCCTTCAAACCGCGCGGCGTGAACCCTCTTTGCGTCCCGTCAGCGGCTCCACCTCCTCTTCCTCCTTGCGGAGCCCCTTTTCATGGTCTGGCTAGGCCAATCGTATGGCTGCTCAGAGGTGTAGAGCAGTCCTTCTGACCTCGTGGTTGGCACCGATAAGCCCGTAAGTGATACGGTCACATGACGCTGCATTGAATCGTATCATTTCTGCCAGGCAGTCCAGCCTTGGCTGCCTCGCGTCTTCGTGTAACGCAGCAGTCCCAGAAGACGATAATGGCCGTCAACCTCATCCTCAGATCATCAATTCGCTGCCGTGGCTGCAGGCGTTGTTGAGGTCGACAAAGGCGACATAATTGCAATCGCAATCCAACTCGGCATTCGCGGGGGTTTAGCTCAGTTGGTAGAGCGTTCGCTTAGCATCTCGAGGTGTCTAACTTGCGAAAGGTCGCGTGTTCGACTCATGCAGTCTCCATGCTCTCTTTTTTCGGATTCTTTTTATTGGCATCGTTTCGGGATCACATTTTTTGGACGGTTTCTTGTCGAAATATACAGCATCTCTTCTGACCGGGACACCTGTCTTCACTACTACATACCATTACTGAAAGAGCACAGACTCACTCGTTGACAACGACCTTTGTCGTCAGACACTCAAACGTCAGAACGATCTACTGGTACCGACAAACAGCTGCAGGAACTCACAGAAGCTTTCCCGCAGCGACCCATACGCTTTGGAAAGCTGAGTCGCGTGAGTGGAGGGGCCAAGAGTACGGGACTCGGAGAAAGGCTGAGCCGATTTGTGTTTTTGTGTTGATGTCCGAGCTTTCCTCAACTCGCTTCCCCTCCTCGTCCCGCAGTTCCGCTTTGTAGAGGCAGACACTCGTTCTCAACAGCGATGGCATCCACAAGCGAGGAGGAGCGGCTCAAGGCTGAGATCGCCAAACTCTCAGGCGCCATCCACACGCACAAGCAGCACCAACAACAACCATACCACTCGTATGCGGCCGGGTATGCCTCGCGCGGCCGCGGACACTATGCTGGCGGCGGTAGTTCGTACCGTGGCGCATACGTTGGAGGAAGAGGCGGATACCAGCCATCAGCGAGTTTTGGAAGGGGGAGAGGTCGGGGTGCGCCTGCAGCAGCACCGCAGCGAAATCGCACGTTGATCCTGAACGGCTCCAACAAAGCAGCTGCCACAGCTCTGGCGGACGGTTCGGTTGGCAACTCGACTACGTCGCAAGGAGCGCCCTCATCAAGCTCGATGAGTGCAGCGGCTTCTTCTGGTAGCAATCCTGCGTCTGGATCAAGTACGACCGATGGCTGGGTCAAGCGCAAATCGACACACAACATGAGCCTGGTCAGCACCTCGACGTTTCAGCGTACAGAGCCCGCTCGTCTAGCAGCCATGGAAGCAACGCGCAAAGCCAAGGAAGAAGCCAAAGCTGCAGCTACCTCAACAGCCGCCGCCGGCAAGAAGGCTATCAGGAGCAAACCAACCAAACCATCTGCATCGGTCCGACGAGGTGACAACATGGGTGAAGTGGTCATCGACGGTGTCGTCTTTGAATTCGATCCATCAGGCACCAAGCTCGTCAAGAAGCCCATTCAACCTTCCTCCTCCGACGTCTCTAATATCCCAGCGCCTTCATCTTCTACCAGCACCGACACATCCACAGCCGTACCGCTGAAGACCAGCATCAATGGTCAAGACTACATCCGCACCAAACGCGGCAACCTCATCTCCGCCGACCTACTCGCCAAGCGCAAATCCCAACGGGAAGCGCAAGCCAAGATGGGTCGGCTCGACAAGATGGTCGGGCAAATTTCGACGATGCAAGCCACACGCAATTCGTCGCGCAAGGCAGGGCTCGTGGGGTCGAGAACGCTCGATGTGAAAAAGGCACGTACTTTGTGTACGTTTTTCAACAAGACCGGACAGTGCAAGCGTGGGCTGTCGTGTCCGTACCTGCACGATTCGAGCAAGATCGCCCTGTGTCCGAAGGTGCTGAGACCAACAGGGTGTACACTGCCCAAGGGGACGTGTCCGCTGTCGCACACGGTGAGGGCGGAGAGGGTGCCGCATTGCGTGCACTACCTGCGGTCCGGCAAGTGTCGCAATGGCGAAGAGTGTCTATATACACATGCGGATCTTGAGGATGGAACCAAGACAGAGATCTGTCGCGACTTTAGCGATTACGGCTGGTGCGAGAGGGGGAAGCTTTGCGAGGAGAGACATACGTACGAGTGTCCGGATTTCGTGGAGAAGGGCAAGTGCGAGAGGAAAGGCTGCAAGCTGGTGCACGTTATCCGAGCGGACCAGTCTCAGGAGAGGAGGGAGGATGGAGATGAGGGAGGGATGCAGGAGGGGGATCTGTTCGTGCGCGACGATGCCGCTGCGGAGGAAGCGTCCGACGCGGAGGCTGAGGCAATGCAGAGCGGGACGAAGCGAAAGCGACCGCTGATGCAGACCGAGCTGGATGATGACCAAATTGTGCTACCGGACGACGAGGACGATGGGGTGGAGGAGGATGAGCAGGTCAACTTTGCCAACGTGGGCGAGAGTCGCAGCGCAAAGCGTCGGAAGGCAAAGGCGTTCACCCAGCAGAAGGATTTCATCTCTTTCGATGACGATCAAGACGGCGAGGACCAGGATGAGGAGGACGAGAGCGAGAACAGCGAGGAAGAGGAAGAGGACGAGGACGAGGACGAGATGGAAGAGGCAGGAAGCGTACACAGTGAGGATTTCGAATTGAGCGACGATGATGACGAGGATGAGGACGACGACGAGGATGATCGTGTCGCAGAAAGCAAGACATCCACCGACGAACCGATCGCTGCTCAAGCTGACGATGACAATGACGACGATTTGGTCGACAGAGATCTTTGATCTTCCAGTCTGTTTTATGTATTTTACCCTCACACACGATGAGAGAAGGAGTGTGGTCCGGCGTCCGACAGCGTGACCCGTGTGCCGTGTGCAGCTTCGAATGTGAGCGACAAACTTTGAAGTGTCCGTCGCGCAGTCGAGGAGCAGCGATCGAGATGGTGACCGGATTTCTGGCTCTCGAGAGCACAGTAGGCGACGTCATGAAGAACAAGCACCCCAAGGAAGGCTCCACTTGAGCGACAAGAAGCCGTCTCGGCGCGATACGTTCCCAGGCGACGGACACCTCAGCAGCACTCACGAGAGGCACGACGTCCTGTGACTAAAAGAATGTGATTGCTTGACGGCCTGATCCTAAGCACATATATATGTATATATCACTAGCACCGTATGCTCCGCTCGAGGTGCTCCCGTCAGCAACTTACCCCGACTCGGTTGTCGACGAATCCTTCCTGCCCTTCTTACCGAACCTTCGCTCCCTGCCCTTCTTCCCCTCCCTCTCCGCCGGCAACCCAGCCAGCAGCGCCTGCCTCTTGACCGCCTCCTCGTACCCACCCACTTTATCGCCCAACGTCCACAGCAGGTCCTGCACTTTGGTCAGGTTGAGGTTGGTGTCGTCGATGATCGAGAGGTTGCACAGGTAGGTGAGGAGGGCGTTGGGGATGGTGGAGAGGGAGTTGAGGTGGTTCCAGAGGGTGTAGAGGTGCGGGTGGTGGGTTGGGTCGATGGGGTTTTCGCCGAGCTCTTTGGAGGGGATGAGGGGGATGTACGGTAGAGAGGTGGTGGTGAGGGAAAGGGTGAGATGCGGGGAACCGGTGGTGGTCGAATCGGATGGGTCGACGGAAGGTGGAGTATCGCCATCCATCGACTTTGCCGCCTTTCTCTCCTGCGCCACGCCGATCACGACGTCCCTCATCCCCGTCCCCTCCAACTCAGGGATGAACCACCCTCCACTCAACGTCAGCGGCGCCAGCAACGGGTTCAGATAGGCATCCCCCACGCCCGCAATCCACGGATACGGTGCCCTCCGATCCCAATACAACAGCTTCTCCGTCGGCCGCAACGCGCTCTCCCAATCCTGCGCCTCGGCCCACAGCCTATCCAACCCTTGCCGATCCAGCTCCCGCATCTGTCCAAACGCCGGGTGGGTGTTGACATCGATCCGTCCACCTCTCACCACCGAAGCGTGGATCGATTCGTTGGTCCTCCCCGTCAACGCCATGTTTTCCCAAACGCTGCGTCGCATCGTATCCTCGTCAAACTTGCGCTGGTTGACGGTGCGGAACTTTTGATAGTTAATCGTGGGGCGCGACTTGTGCGCCAGCTGCATGGCCCATTCTCGACGTCGATCGAGGATGGTTGCTAGCAGACCGATGTCGATGTTGAGCAGAGGTCGGAGGGTTGTGCTTCCGTCCGGCAGGGTTTGCGGATCGACGAGCTGGGAGACCATCCAGATGAGCGTCAGATCGCTCAGACCGTGATACTGGTACCCACCTCCGACGTCAGAATGTGCTCCTTGGAACCAACACTGTTTGAGCAGCTGTTTGGACCGCATGTGTTTCCCCCGGACGCCGAATTGCTCCGACGAGGCTTTGGGTGTATCGTTGACGCTGGGTTGATACCACATTGTCGGTAGGAAATCTTTTCGATCCTCCTCCAGGCTGAGAGCGTGGAAGCCGAATTGGATGTTGCTTCCGAGACCGGGATCGTAGAAGTCGAAGAAGTCGATCATGGCATTATCCTGGAACATCCCCGGGAACCCAAGGGCGGAGACGGTATCCCAAACACCCACCACTTTGATCTGCGGCGGAACGATCTGTATGTGCTTGCGTCTCTCTTCCAACTCCTTCCTCCTCGCCTCCATGAACTGTGTCCTCGCCTGTTCCGACAGGTGATCGTTCTTCGACAAATTCCACTGATACGTGCTCGTCGCAAACCCTTCACTCTCGATGCTCGGATACCTCTTGGTCGCCGCGAACAGCACCTCCGCCGCCGCACTCTCGCTCGCCACATCATCCGGATCCCTCTTCTGGTACGCCGACCAGATATCCGCAAAGTGTGTCATCTCAACTTTACTCAACACTCCACACCAATTGATGAAGCCCGTGATGCATCTGGCCGTGTAGGCGCCTCGGCTGAAGCCGAAGAAGAAGAGCTCGTCACCGGGCTGGTAGTTGTCGACGATGAAGCTGTAGGCTTCTTGGATTTTGGAGCCGAGGGAGAGGCCGGTTCCTTGATCGAAGAGGTTTTGGATTTTGCCGGTGCCCGTGCCGATGCCGGATTGGTAGAAGACGATCTGAGGCATGACGCCGGGTGAAGCGGAGTCGAGGGTGGGTGAGGAGGTGGTGGGAGAGGTGGGGGCGACGCCGGACGAGCTGGCGATGCACTTGGCGAGCAGCGCTACGTTTGTGAAGAACTCCCCGGATTCAGCTGCGGGTGATGGCGTCGCTGTTGAAGCCGACGACTTGGATTTGTTCTTGCGACGCTGGCGTGCTGCGGAGGACGCAACGTCTCCTCGATCGACGGGTGGAACGCACGTGCGGTCATCGTGGTCGGAGGCGGCTAGCGAAGAGCGTCGTCCAGAGAAAGGACCTCTCCGTTGCGTGGCTGTGTTCAGGGATGCTTTGACCCAGTTGCGTGCTTGACCGGTGCCGTCGCATAGCACGATGATGCGGATAGGCTGGCGCGGGATTCGTGCTTGTACTGGTGGTGGTGGAAGCGAGGTGAAGGGTGGCTGGTTGGTGGTCAGAGGCGGAGGTGACGGATTGTCCGTCGGTGGCGCGACCATGACTGTCAAGTCGGGTTAGAAGCAGTTACGAGTGTAGACTCTGATGAGGATGAGTCGGAGCGCTCGGGTGGTGGTTGTATAGACGAAGGCAGTCCTCTCCGAGCAAGACGTGGTGGAGTGAAGGAAGTCTGGGAGTGAGCAGAGATGAGGACAGTCAGGACTCTTGTGGTAAGCTACAAGGTCGACGACGATGCGGGAGCGGGAAGCTCGCTGGGCCTTGCGCACACAGACTGCACGCAGGCAGGGAGAGCAACGACCACATGGTGAGTGCTGGAAGAATATCCAGGTCAACGTGCTGTGCGGCGACGATCGTTGCCCCCAACAAGGACCCTGGGGAAGCTCGCTTCCTCGCTAGACTCGGCTCAGAGCTTGTTGCATCGCTACAGCAGGCGGATAAAAAACAGGCTTGAAGCGGCAAGTTGCTATGGTACAGCAACCTGCAATCACTCTAGCTTCCCGCGTCTTTTTTGGCGCCTCCCGTGTGGACCTTCCATGCAGCTCCGCCACTTGCGCTTCCACTGCCTCTTGAGCTGGCTGGTTTCTTTGTCTTCGCCCCCTTCATGTAGAGATCGACCCTTGAAAGGCGAGCATGCCGACACGGACATTTGCAATGATTGACGTGGTGGGCATCGGATGAGGGCAAACCAAATAGGCAAGACACGCGTTAAACGCATGCATGACATGCATGCAAGTGCAGATTTTGACACTCCGGCCCTCGAGAACAACTTCTAACTCTGGCTTTAGGCCCCTGTCTCTTCCTCTCTCACTGAACGAAGCAGCATGAACCGGCAAGAAAGCCGTGCCTTATTTACCTTTCACCGCGAACCCCCCAACTCGCCGTACTCGAGACACTCACGTCCATGACCTCAAACCTGATCCCGAGCGCCAGTCGTCATGTTCACGTACAAGAGACTTGAATTTCGTTTGCTGCCGAATCAAATGGCGCAGGCATTGTATCTGCTACTTGGCGTCAGCTTCGAGCCCGCCTTGGCCGGGAACCGATGGCTCGGCGGTGGCTCCTTCAACGATGAGTTCGTCCATTGTCATTTCGACTTCATCAGCATGTGCCGAGATGGTCTGACCATCAGCCTTAACCGCATTGGTGCCGTTGTGATCAGCAGCTGAAGCTTTGGACTCGTTTGGCTTTGGCTCGGTCATCGGATCTGATGCTGCGATCTCGGCAACCTTAATCTCGTTGCCATTGTTTCCGGTAGGGACGGGGCGATTGTTGTCATCAGCTTGCTGAGCGTGATCAGCGCGTTCAGGGGCGGCTTGAGCGGGAGCCTCGATGCTTGCCTCGATGACGGTTTTCGGCTCTGAGAGAGTATCCAGCGTGACAGCAACACGTGCTTCCACCTGTCGTGCGTGTGCATCAGATGCATCCTGGGCCGGGGCAGCATCGTCGGCACCGGTACCGTGAGGCATCGCTTTCGAGGATCCGGGCTCGGTCTGGATATCTCCCAACGTGTCCAGATGAGATTTTGCCGCTGCATCGGGCTTCTTCATCGTATGGACAGCGCTCGATGTTTGCTGGCAGCAGCTGAAGCTTTCACTGGTCTCAATCTGCGCTTTGTCCCTCCCATCCGCACCAGGTACCGTCGCGACGTTGTTAGGCACGTTGTTAGGCGGCGACGCTGCTTCTGCAGGTACTGCTGCTGTCACTAGGGGCTGATCCTTGTCAGCTTCCTCGCCGTGTCCGGTCGACACCGCCGCCTGCTCAGGTTCCGGATCAACGCCTGGAGCTTCTAGAGGCTGTTCCTGAAGGGCAATCTGTTCTTCGGCGGCGAGAGCTTCTTGAGCCCTGACGGCAGGTTGCTGCTCGCCATCAGTGCGTTGAGGCGTCTCTTGCGATCCGTGCTCCTCTTCGATTGACTCGCCTTCCGCATCAGGATCCTCTTGACTGGTATCGATATTGTTCTCCCTAGACTCATCTGCCTCGTGATCGTTGTTCTTCGAATCTCTCGTTTCCTCGGTAATGGCGCCGCGATGGTCAGCTCCAAAGGTCTCCTCCTGCGTCTGCGTCTCTTTACCCACACACGGCACCACCTTGCCTTGGCTTGTGTCGACGACTGGCTTCACAAGCTTTCCTTGATGTTCGTAAGCGATGCCTGCATCTGGGACTGTCTCACTGGTCTTCTTGGAGATCTCCTCGGATACAATTGACAGGCTTTTGGAAACCCTGTCCGTGCTTGGGTTTGAAGCTGCGCGGACTGGCAGCATCAACTCATATTGAGACTCTGACTCGCCTGTCTCTTGCTGACTCTCCTTGCTTTGAGCTTCTTCAGCCGGCAACGAAGCCGCACTCACAGGTGCGGGAGTAGGCTGCTGTTTCGAGCCGTCGTCGTCGTCGTTCCCGATGCTACGCGCCTTCTTTTCAGCCCGATCGCCTGCATGAAGAACCGCCGATTCTTCCAAGGGCCTTTTGATCGCGCAGGAAGGTACGCCCTCGCCTTCGATGAAGCTCTCAGCCTCATTGGCGGCTACAGCAGTGGAGCTTGCGTCTTCGAAAGGTGAGTCGTCGGCGAGATGAGACCGGTCGCTGGCTGCGTTTCCATCGGCACTGTACGCAGCGACCCACAGCTTTGCATCAGCAGGCGATACGAGCGTCTTTGAATTGTACAAGCTGGCGTGAGCGCCGAGCAGATGGTCCTTCTTGACGCCGAGACGCGAATACAGGCTGGACTTGCAGAACGACGCCATCCTACCAGATGCTCCTGCGACCACCCTCAACACCTCGCGAGCTGCATTGGAGTCCCAGACCGGACGAAAGAAAATGTCGATGCCGAGCAGTACTTGTGGCTGCCTGGAAGAGGTAGGCGATCTGTTGGAAGTCCGGCGACCTTGAGAGGTTTTGGGTCGTTTGTTTGAGTCCGTGGCGCCCTCATCGGATGGTAGCACGCGAGCGCGAAGGGCGATGATGGAGCTGTATTTGAGGTCGCCCGAGGCGAGGCTCTTGGCGAGCTGGGTGAACACACGATCGACCTCGGATGGTCTGATGAGCATGGTCCACTTGCCTTGGCCCCACAGCGGATGATCCGCCGTCATGAGCATGATCTCGTCGTGGAAAGCGTCCTGCACCTCGGTCCTGCACTGCTTCTTGCTCTTGATCTTGCCAGCATGGACGGGGATGTTGTTGTCGTTTTGGATCTCGGTGACCTGTGCTGTCGCAGTACGGACGAGCTCGTCTGCTTTTGTGAAGATGGAGTCATTGGTGGGAGCCAATTCGGCTAGCTGATCCAGAGAGGGCACTTTGAGCACCCAGATGGGCCGAGGATTGGTGCCGTTGTTTAGGGCCACAGGCGCACCGAGTCGACTCGGCGGATGACTTGCAAGCCACTCATCGATGTGACTGCCATCATCATCAAGGATCAGAAGCAGGGGTTTTGCGTCATCAACGGGGTTGAAGGCTGAGGCCATTTTGGCTCAGAGAGTGTCGCGCTTGATGATGTAGGAGAGAGAAGGCGAAGAGGCACGAAGCACTACTCCTGATATAAGAGAGCCCGGCAAAGCATCGCGGCATCAACCCCCTGCCGCCTTTCGTTCGCAAACGATCCGCACCCACCCTTTGACGCGGCAGACTCCTGCTTGGCCATGCGACTGAGCCTCGGAAGACAGGGTCAAGGGCGAGAGCATGCATCTCGTTTCGGCAGTTCCGCTGTCTGTAGAAACGCAAAGGGGAGACGAGACAGGGCGAGAGGCTACCCACGAGTACTCTCTGTGCTGCTTTGCAGTGCGCCCAGCCCTCGTCGTCTTGGGGAGGCAACGCAGCTGCGCTGCTCAGCTGCGGCGCCGCATGATGACAAACGTGATTGTCAAAAAAATGGGAAAAGTGACACTCCTTTTGTCACTTGACAGCTGCGCCTCACTTTTTCATGGAAGAGCCGCCGATTGGCTCAGTGTACTTCACTGAGCTCATCACCCACATGTAGTGCTCGGGCTGAGTTCTGTGCGCTGCGCTGCGTTCGTCCATCTATAGCCTCATCTTGCCTCGAAGCGAAAAAAAAATCCGCACGCTCGAGCCGTCACCTTTCGGCGTAGAACGGATGGCATCGTTGACTACTAGGCTTATCGTTCATGGTGACGGAAACTGTGAGCTTGAGCTTCTGCAGACGAGTGTCAACTTCTATTCTCGTAACACACCCACACATGTCGCCAATCAATCGCGGTGGAGCCCACCTTCATCTCACATCACATCACACACGCAGATCACGGACGTCAAGGGACAATCTAAAAAATAACGTGAGATTAGGCGTGGACCATGCAGACGCGCCACTCTCTAGGTAGATCGCTGCTCGACAGCGCTGCTCCCGCTTCCGTTGCCGTTGCGATAGAACCTCGTGTAGCCATTGTCTTGCGACGACGAGTACTGTTGCTGGCCCTGCTGTTGCTGCTGCTGTTGCTGCTGGTAATTGTACGAGCCGAAGGATGCACTGCCTCCTGATCCCTGGTTGCGCATCATATTCTGCGGCTGGTGCTGCTGCTGGTAGTAAGGCTGTTGACCGCCAGCGTAGCCATTCTGATTGTAGCCAGCCTGCTTCTGCGGTGTGTTGCCTTGACTGCTCATCGGTCCACGCTCTGTGGGGCTGATGCCAAAGCTAGCAGGAGCGACGGCGCCGGCCGACCATGGACCCTGCTTGTCGGGACTGCGCGAGAATTCGGTCCCTACAGGCGTCGTTGCACCGTTGCCGCTCGAGTACTGCCTGTGTGCGTTCTGCTGTTGCTGTTGCTGCTGCTGGTGCAACATTTGTTCCCTCTGATGCACCTGACGCATCGTCGTTGGCGGATGAACGTCCGGTCGGTGACGATTCTGAAGCTCGCCCGAGTGAAGTGGTCCACCAGCACCGCTGCCGTTGCGCCCCATGCCGACACCGCCGCGCATCTGTCGCTGCTTGGCGTACTTTTCGCACTTCTTGAGAATGTCGCGCGATGTCAGATCCGCCGATGCGTTCATAAGGTCCTTATCCTGCAGCACCGCTTCGAGCTCCTCGGGCACCTTCCAGATCTCATCCTGATGCTCTAGCAAATACGAGACGGCTCGGTTGGCCAGGAACGTCTCGTCCTTGGTGGGATCGCTGCCTTTGCTGTACAGAATGTTGGGACAGATCACGGTCGCCAAGTTGGGCAAGTCCATCTTGCTTCCCGTCTCTTCGTCGATATGCGAGAACGAGGCGACCCACTTCAGGAAAGCGAACAGCACCTCCATGGTATCGCGGTGGCCCTTGGGCAGCAAGATGGTGACCATGTGCAGGATACGACGTCGCTCCGCCTCGGACTCGAGCTTCTGCGACATGACAAACAGCTTGTGCAGCTTGAAAGTCATGAGCGGATCTGGAAGCTCGCGCAGGAACTTCTTGAGCAGCGCCGCCAACTGCACCGGGTTGTCGTCCAGCAGATTCACCGTCGAGCTGTCACGATCAAGCGCCTCCGAAAGCTCCTTGAGTCGACGGATGTTGCCGTTCTTACGGAAGATACCCTCGACCGACAGGTCCATCTGCTTCATGGCCGAGATCACGTCGTCAATGAACGACGGCACGCGGAGATGCGCGGCGCTGGCGCCCAAGGTCGAATCAGCTCCATTTCGCTCCACTAGGATCTCGAGAGGGATGCCGAACACGCCCTTCTTCTTGATCTCCTTCTTGTCCTTTCCGCCCTTGAAGATCTTGCCCCAGAAGGTGTTCTTGCGCGTCTCGATGAACTCGATCAGATCGTCCAGGTTGACGTGGTCGCGTAGCGCCGACTGCTGCAGGTACATGACGGCCATGTGCTTGACGATGAAGAGCTCCAGAGCCGACAGCTCGGAAATGCATCGCGTGCCTTCGCTCGGAAGCGGTCGATGCTGCTCTCGCGCCTGCTCAGCCTCCAAGATGTGCGGAATGTCGGCAAGCGTGATGCCATCTTCGCTCCTCGTGTCGCGCTGAATCTCGTCCCCAGAAGGCTGGCGCATGGGCCCGTCTTCGCGAATCTTGACGTCCGTGTTGTGACGGGCAAACGCAGGTCGGATAGGTACAATCGAGCCAGGCTCCATGTGCGAGGGCGAGCTTGCACGGCCTGCAGAACCGGCGCCGAGCTGCGGAGGTTGCTGCTGAGGAGGCAGCGCGAATGGCAAGTGCTGCTGGACCGGCTGGAACACCTGCTGTTGCTTGTGCGGCTGTTGCTGGTAGCCCTGCGGTGGTTGTGCTTGAGGTGCCCGACTCGATGGCGAAGGCTCGCGAGAAGAACCAGCATCGCGCTGGAACGGCGAGCTGGCATCCCGTGGCGATGAGCCGGGACTAGCTTGGCGAGGCGAGTGTCTGCTGTCGTATTGCAGGCCAGTGTCCGAGGGCGACGGTTTCTGCATGTCGGAGGTCTGCGTCTGGCGTCCAGACGGGCTGCCGACCACAGTCGAGATGCGTGGCACCTTCGCCTTGGTGGACAACTTGCGATTGAGGTTGACCGACTTCATGCGCTTGATGTCTTGCGAATCTCGGTACGCCTCGTGCATCGATACTTCATCGTCGCCATCCGCGGGCGACGCTGCATCCGACGTCGAGGCATCAGTCAATCCCATCTGGCGAGATGCCGACACTGGAGGGGACGGCGGAACCACACCACGCTTGCGCAGCAGCGCGAACAGACGATTGAGCGCAACTCGCAAGAGGAAGGCGTACTGCTCTAGCCTTGTCACCGACTCGAAGCCCGTGCGCAGCTGCTGGGCTCCCGCACAATTGGGGCAGAAGCAGGCGTACAACCACGAGCCGGCGGACATGGAACGTGAACCGCTTTGCATACCGGCGCCCTCGGGCTGTCTACGTTTCGACTCGAGGCCGTACTCGGAGGCTGGCAACGGTTCAGGTGCGCCTGGAACGGGATCCGGCTGCTTGCGCGTCGAAGCTCCGTCGCGCAGAGCAGGTCGCTGACATGTCGTACACTTGAGGCAGTTGGAATGCCATCGCAGGTTGACGCCCATGCGTAGACACTCCTCCTCGACCGTGGATCCGCACGCGACGCAGAGATCGGTGGCTGCCTCGCCGTTCTCGCTCGAGCCAGAGCTGGTGGAGCGAGGGAGCGAGCGGTAGCCGTACCATTTGCCATCGGGACCCACCGTGCTGGTGTTGGGCTGCTGCGTGCCCTGCTTGTCATCGGCGGTGATGCTGCCGAGCTTGGCCGAGAAAGCGAGCTGACTGAGGAACCAGTGCAGAGCCTCTTCGTTGCCGAACTCTCGGTCAAGCTTGAGTGCGCCGGTCAAAGCGATACGAATGAGGATCTTGAGGTAATGCGCGAGGCCCGTCACGAGCGAAAGAAGCTCCTGAGTGATGCCCATCCTTCTCGCCCCGGTCTCTTGGGTATGCGAGAGCAAGGAGAAGAAGTTGACGATCTTCTTGCACAGCATCCTGGCCTCGCGAATGTGCGAGACTCCTTTTGCCTCCTCCTTGCGGAAGTTGGCTTCGAGGTCGTCGATGGCGGAAAAGAGGATCTCGACGTGTAGGATAAACTTCTCCGCCATCCTGACGCCGCCGAGATAGCGGCCGCTGCTGACATGGCGAAGCATCTCGGAGATGCACGCCGCCGAGCTTTCTTCGAAAGCGGACAACACGGTCCAGATGCGATAGACGCGCTCTTCCATCTGTTTCTGCTTTTGCTTGAGGCTCGAAGGTGTCTCTGAGGCCTCAATCTCGGTGGCGTCGGGTGATGGCTCGGAACGCGAAGGAGCAGCTTGACCCGGGGCGGATTCGACGGCGTCCTCCTGACTGGCCGACTGCTGCAGCGCAGGGCTGTCGGTCTCGTTGTCGGCAGCAGCCACATGAGCCAACGCTGCGGCGCCGTCCTTGGGGGTCGACCCGGTCGGGCAGAGCTTGATGTTCCAGAATTTGTGGATCATGTAGCACTCTGGATGCCAGTGCTCATCGGTGTTGTTACGGTTGATCTCGACAAATTGCTTAAGGATGGCGGTCTTGCAGCCTGTGCACTTGATGGCGAAGCGCGTGCTGTAGTGGAAGTGACAGAAGACGCTGCCGTCGTGCTCGTAGTAGCTGTCCTGCGGTCCAAACACGGTGGGGCAGACGGAGCAGGTGAAGTGTTCGACGTGAAACTTTTTGCCGAGCGCGGTGATGTAGCTGCCTCGAAGAGCGCCGCTGCACTTTGCACAAATGAGGTCGAGGCGGCGGAAGTAGTCGGTCTCGCAGAGAGGAAAGAGGCGACCTGTGCCGGAGGAGTCGACCATATCGTCGGTGGCAGGGAAGAACTTGGCAGCGACGACCTTGTCGCAGTCGTTGCATCGGAAGCAATCGAGGTGGTAGACACTGCCAAGCGCTCTAACGAACTGACCGGTCATGACCTTGCCACACGCCTGGCAGGTCTGATCGCGCCGCCTGGAAGAAATGCCGGAGGAGGTCGATGGCTGACCCGATCGTTGCTGATCGGACATGGGTGCGGAAGAGCTGGCTGCAGATAGCGGAGCGTTCGTCGATGGGCCAGACGAGGCCATACTGGGCGAGGCGGCCCCGCCGGTGATAGGATTGAAAGGCGCCTGAAGGGTTTGAGGCGAAGCGACGTTGGAGAGGACACCCGAGCCACTGGCGGGTGCGGGATCTGAGCCAGCGTGTGTTCTGGGAAGGCTGTTGGTATCGAGACGGGGCGCAGGACGAGAGGAGCCGCGCGAAGGCAGGCTAGGTCTGGACTCGATGCTGTTGGAGCGGAGGGAGCCTGCAGGCTCGTGCTTTTCCCTTTCCCTCTCCCAGCTCCAGCCTGGATCTACGGCGCGACTCTTGATTCTGTCCATGTCTGCGCGATTGCGGGAACTGCCCGAATCCGTCGCGACACCATTGGCGAAAGAGGTGGAAGGATGCAGCGATTGTTGGGTCGAATTTTGGTCGGACGTCGTGAGAACAGTGCTTGGGTCCTGCGAACGCGACTGCGACATGGGAAGGGCGGCAGGGTAGGCTGAAGCAGACGGCCGTTGCAAGTCTGAACCCGGATTGGAAGATGCGGCGAGATTCATGTCTGCGGTGGCGCGGTTGAGGTCATCCGAGGTGTCGGTAGTGTTGGAATAGTAGGAGCTGTTGCCCTCGGACTGACCCGTGTTGGAGCGGTGTGCATGGTACGACCCAGACAAAGGCTGCTGCGGCTGCGAGTCTGTGGAGGCCGACGCTGCAGGATCAGCGCCGTTGACGTGGTACGGACTCGACATGAGGCTACGACGAATCTAGCGAAGCCTAATGGAAGCAGAGCGCGACAGAACGGTGGATCGCGTGTGCGGGTATGCTGAAGCTTCGGCAGTCGGAACGTGGGCGGTGTCAAGGAGACGGAGCGAAAGATGAGCGGCGAGGAATAGGGAGATGACGACGATGTACGCAGTTGCTTTTGCGCATCAAGAAAGCCAATAAGACGACAACAGGGACACTGCAACCGAGATGTGAAAGGAATCAAGGTGCGCAGGACAGAGAATCGGCCGATGCGCTGTCCGCTCTCTTCGCGCACGCCTGAACGGAGGTGGTACTATGAAGCGCACCTTGAGCGTGTGACCTTGTCGACGCTGCTGCAGAGCGAGCTCTAGCCGACGAGTAGCATGCCCAGCTGTGCAAGGCGACGATGCGTTGTAGGCGCGGAGCGATGATGTTGTCCAATGCTCTCGTGAGATGGCGAGAGGAGCTGAGAAAGGCCGCGCGCGTACGGGTCGTTGTGTATATGTGGAGAGAGTGTGTCGTACGATCGAGATGTGAGGTTGGATCGCTAAGTTTGTGGTGGATCCTCTGTGCTGCACTCGGGGGGTTGTATCGGAGTCGGTCGATCGAATATGAAGATGAGAGCGCCACGAAGAGAACGCACACCGTCGTGTAGGGAGCGCGAGGGATCAAGGTGATGGTATAAAGTGCGATCGGAGACGAATCGACGATGATGAGTGCCGAGCCGAAATGTGGACCAAGCCCAACGCAGTCACGGTGCGGCACAGCACAGCACAGCGCAGCACAACCAAGTCTGAGCCGCGTCGTTCTTAGCCTCTCTCTCTCTCTACCTGCTAGGTGCGTGCGCGCCGAGCAAGCGTCAAAAAAAAAAACAAGACCGAAGCACATCGCGGCAGCACACCACACATTCGCAGCAGCAGAAGCGTAGACCGCGGCAGCTGCAGCGTCAATCCCTGCAAAACAAGTCTCACTTAGCGTCGCATAAGCCAGCGAAACACGCACAACACACACAGTCTCACCGACACACCGCGCAGGAAAATATCGCAAAAATAGTAATAAATAGAATAAATTCAATGCCGCTTCAGGAGCTCAAAAGTAGGCCAGCTCCGCGCACCGCTGCGACCATGGAAGGAAAAAAAAAAGGCAGAAAAGCAAAATGAAAAGGTAAGCGGGTGCAGCCGACGCGCAGAATCTTAAAAATGGAAATACAGCTACAGAGTCCAATAATCCCACGCTAACGTTGACGAACGAGCGGGGTCAGAAGAAGTCTGCAGCAGCGCTGCACTCGACACGCCCGCTGCTGGAAGAGCGGCGGATCAAGAATCGTTTCCGCCCCTTCTCTCAAAACTCTCTTTTCGACCCCTATTCTTGGTACACTCATCGGTGTTGGTCAGCTTTTGAACTGCATACGAAGTGACGCGTGGCACAGCCTGTATTGCCTCTTGCTTTTGACCTCGCCAGGTGCGACTTGACCGGCGCGCAAAGGCCAAATCGTCGGTCGTGTTCACTCTACCCAATCGGATAGCCTGCGCAGACGACTGGCATTTTTCCCGTTCAGGAACATGCTGCATAAAAGAACAGCCAGCAAAACACCACGTTGCGTCTCTGTCACACACACTGCGTGCATGTCTCACCGTACGCAACGCGTTCTGATCCTGTCAGACTCAGAGAAGGAGCCCGTTCTAGACAAACAGCTTGACCTTCGGTGAGCGGAAAGAGAGAAGAGAAAAAGAACGCCGGTAGCAAGGTCGTAAGATGCCGCCGCTTCGGCGTTTCTGCTTGCACACGGGAAGGGCGGGGCAAAGCGCTAACGGCATACCTCGGTCTGCCGCCGCAGGAATGCTCAGCATCTCCTCCATCTTGCCCTCTCTCTGGCTGAAAAATCTCACACGACAGAAGCACTACGAACAGTTGACCGAGGGCATCCTTCCTGTTTTTTCCCCACAACCCGGACCCCCCCCCCCCTTTTCT